GGTCTTGAACTGGTGCCCACAAGGATGCCGATGTTGCAAGCGGAGGCTACTGCGCCACAATGCAGGTCTTCCAGTGCTTGGTTTTGTTGGTCCTTTCTGTTGTATGTGTGTTTAATTTCTGTTTCATTATTTTCTTTAACATTTTTAGGTTTATTCTTTTTTATTTAAAAAATTATTTATTTGAAAGGCAAATTTACAGAGAGAGAGGGAGAGACAAAGAGAATGATTCTCTATCTGCTGGTTCGCTCTGCAGATGGTTGCATTATTTCCAATTCATGCGTTCCTCTTTCTCTAACTAGGACCTTCTGTCCGATGTATCTCTCACCTAATTTCTCTCCCTTTACCCAGCGGGGAGTGGTCCTGTTCTTTGGTGCTGGTCTCAGAACATGCTCCCGGCACAGGAGGTGTGGGAACTGTGAAGGTGACTCAGCTGAGTTCCCGTTGGTCAGACGCTCATCTGGATGTGGCTGTGACGATTCTTCTTAAAGAGTTGTTTGTTTGAAAGGCAGAGTGACAGAGAAAGTAATGTGGAGAGCAAGCGAGAGAGAGAGAGAGAGAGACTGGTTGATTGATTTTGCGTCTTTTGGTTCATTCCTCAGATGACAGCAGCCAGGGCTGGGCCAGGCTGACGCAGGAGCCTGGCGCTCCATCCTGGTCTCCCATGTGGGTGGCATCTTCCACTGCCTTCCCAGGTGCATTAGCAGGGAGCTGGCTTGGAAGTAGAGGAGCTGGGACTTGAACTGATGTCCCAGTGAGGGATCCAGTGTTGCAAGCACCAAAACACCAGCCCCAGTGTGGGGTATTTTTAGGGGTGACTTTCGCTGGCAGTCAGCTGACTTTGAGCAAGGCTTATGGTCCCTGATGTGTTGGGCCTCGCCCCATCAGTGAAGGCTGTGGCAGCTCAGAGGATTCTGCCCTTGGCCTCCAGCGGCAGCATCTCCCACCTGTTGTGCTATCCCCAGGTCTGAACTGGCTGCCACAGTCCCGGGAGCCTCTGCGTCACAGCCAGTGGTTGGTCTTTCTCTGCCTGTCTCTGCAGCTCTAGCTGTGTCGTGCCCATCCTGTTGGTTCTCCCTCTCTGGTGACCCCTGCCTGACCAGTACACAAAGCAAGGGCCACAGGCCTGTGACCGTGTCTGTCCCTGGGCTGGTCCCTGCTGTGGGCTGTACCTTAGCTCTGCCTGTTGTTCAGGCACCTACAACCATCACCATCTTCTGCTGGACGTACAGCAGCTGCCTGAACCCCAGCCTGGGGGTTTCCTAGTGTGGAAGGTGGTGGCCCCATGCTCAGATTTTGCTGTCTGAAAATGTCCTTATTCTTACAAAGCTCTTGTTGTTTTAAAGATGCATTTGATTATTTATTTGAAAGGTAGAGTTACAGAGAGAGGGAGAGACAGGAGAGAGATCTTCCATTTGCTGGGACACTCCCTAAATGGCCACAACATCCAGGGCTGTGCCAGGTTGAAGCCAGGAGCCTGAAACTCCATCTGGGAGTCCCACGTGGGTGACAGGGGTCGAAGCAGTTGCACCAGCATCTGCTGCTTTCCCAGGCGCATTGCAAGTGGAGCAGCTGGGACTTGACCTGGAATACGGGTTTAACTGACCTGGAATACGGGTTTAACTGACATGGGATCTGGGTTTAGCTCACGTGGGATCCGGGTTTAGCTCACGTGGGATCCGGGTTTAACTCATGTGGGATCCGGGTTTAACTCACGTGGGATCCAGGTTTAACTGACATGGGATCCAGGTTTAACTGACATGGGATCCGGGTTTAACTCACGTGGGATCTGGGTTTAACTGACGTGGGATCCGGGTTTAACTCACGTGGAATCCAGGTTTAACTGACATGGGATCCGGGTTAAACTCACGTGGGATCTGGGTTTAACTGACGTGGGATCCGGGTTTAACTCACGTGGGATCCAGGTGTAACTGACATGGGATCCGGGTTTAACTGACATGGGATCCGGGTTTAACTCACGCTGGATACGGGTTTAACTCACGTGGGATCCGGGTTTAACTCACGTGGGATACGGGTTTAACTGACATGGGATCCGGGTTTAACTGACATGGGATCCGGGTTTAACTCACGTGGGATCTGGGTTTAGCTCATGTGGGATATGGTTTAACTGACATGGGATCCGGGTTTAACTCACGTGGGATCTGGGTTTAGCTCACGTGGGATATGGGTTTAACTGACGTGGGATATGGGTTTAACTCACGTGGGATACGGGTTTAAGCCTCAGTACAATGATGCAAGCCCTGCCACAAGCATTTTTCCCCAGCGATTTCAACAGTGCCAGCCTCCACTCTGCCCCCCGCTGGTGGCCTGGGGAAGGGTGTCCACTTTCACCTGCAGCTCCCTCTGCTCTGTGGCTGGGGCTCCCGGCCTCTGGCCTGCTGTCATCAGCTGACTCTGTGGTGCTAGGAGATTTTGTTTGATTTGCCCTCAGTCCACTAATGTCTGTTTGCTCTGTGCCTGCTCAGTGATTCTACATGTCAGTGATGTTATCTTTCAAGAATATTGATTTAGATATTAAAAAAGTTTGCATGGCCAGTTTTTAATATTGTATTATCTCTTTTGTATTTTTTAATCTCATTTCCTTAAATGTAGAACACCTTTGCCTTCAAAAGCCTTCCTGGGCTTGTTTCTCGTGTGTGGAACTTTCAGCCTCAGCTTGCGCTTTGGTGTTTTTGCCTGTGTGCACTGTTTGAGGCTCGGCTGGCAGTGGTTTGCTGGTCCAGGGGCTGGCCTGCAGCCCTCTTTAACCCTATCACTCTCAGCCCAGTGTCCTTGGGACCCACGGAGGCAGGGGGAAGTCCTTGGGTGCAGCCTGTTTGGGCCACGTGGTGGCCATGGATGGCAGGATAGTCCTCAGAATGCGTCTCCTTCCACAGCCCCTCCACCCTGGGATGAACAGGGATCCCTGCAGTGTCCTAGCCTGGATCAGAGGCCCTCGGGAAGGCAGCATTGCCCCTTAGGTTTGCTCTTTTTGTTTTTTAAATAAATTATTTATTTAGTTGAAAGGCAGAGTTACAGAGTGGCAGAGGTACTTGGGCCATCTTCTGCTGCCTTCCCAGGTGCATTAGCGAGGAGCCGGGTCGGACATGAAGCAGCTGGGACTTGAACCAGCGCCCATATGTGATGCTTGTGTCACAGGTAGCAGCTTTAGCTGCTGCACCACGCTGGCCTGGGTTTGCTCTTATGGGGAGGAAACGTAGTTCTCTTAGCTGGGACAGCCCCAGTCCCAAAAGAACAGGAGGCCAAGGACAGGCGCACCTCTTGGGCGGCTGCCTGAGAGCTGGGGGCTCCCACAAAGGTGGCAGTGACTCGGAGAAGTGCATCTTCAGACCCCGCTCTCTGGGCGGCTACAGCCTGACAGTCGAAGGCAGACTGGGCTGGGCATCGCAGCTGTGACCGGGGTCTGGGTTTGCCTTTGGTGACCAGCCTTTGTCCCTCCTGGTAGATGGGGTGGGGGCGGGACATGGACAGGGAGAGCCTAGGGCTTCGTGTCTGCTTCTCATCCTAGAGTCTGCTCCCTGTCCCTGCTCTGGCTTCGGGGGCCCTCCCTGCAAGCTCCATCTGTGCAACCCCTCGGGCTGTGCGCTCTTGCTTGGGATGGGCGAGGTCCTCGCTCTGCCCAGCTGTGTGGCCTTGCTGACTCCGCGGAGCTGCGGAAATCTGCCCCCCGAACGCGGCTCCCAGGCCCCTGTGCCTGCAGTTGTCTGCGGCCACTTCGTCTCTGCCACGTCCTCACCCTCTCCCCACCCCTGGCCAGGCTGGCCCTGCCCTGACTCTCCACAGGCTGGAGTCCAGCTGGCTCTCGTGGGTCCCTGAGAGAGGCGGTGCTTGTGGGGTGTGAGCCAGGGCCTTGGGGCCTCAGCTCGGGGGCCAGGGCCAGAGAGGAGGTGGCTGGGGGGCCTGAGTTTCTTCGTGGTGGGCGCTGGCCAGGTGGTCCTGGAGGTGTCCACGGGGTGGAGATGCTTTGGAGAGTCTTCAGTGTGGTACATCTCAGGCTGCAGGTCAGGACAGAGGCACTGGGAGGTGAGAACTGTGGGCCAATCGCCTTGGAGGTGGCCGTGTGGCTGGAGGGAGCTCAAAGGGGCAGTGGGGAGGTTGGTTTGGGAGGGAAGGCAGGGGCAGCAAAGCGTCTGGTGGTGATGGGGGGTCACAGTCACCGGTGGCACGCCTGTCACCCAGGGCCTGATTGCCCAGACCATGGGGAGGGGCACAGCCCCCTTCCAGAAGAGGGGCCTGCTGGGGGTCTCGGGTCCCACCCAGCCTGACGCGTGTGTCCTTGCCCCTCAGGAGATGGCAACCTGCACCTCAACGTGACGGCAGAGGCCTTCAGTGCCTCGCTCCTGAGCTCCCTGGAGCCCTACGTGTACGCGTGGACGGCTGAGCAGAGGGGCAGCGTGAGCGCCGAGCATGGCCTGGGCTTCAAGAAGAAGGACGTCCTCGGCTACAGCAAGCCGCCCGCCGCTGTGCAGCTGATGCGGCAGCTTAAGGCCCTGCTGGACCCCAAGGGCATCCTGAACCCCTACAAGGTGCTGCCCACCCAGGCCTGATGGGAGCCCCTGCCCTGCTGCCAGGAGTTGGAGGGGCCTAGGATCCTGGCTCTCTCCGAGGGCTGCTGTGCCATCCCGAGAGGCTTCCCCGGTACCCCGGTCCTGCCTTCTGGACAGGCCAAGTGGGTGGGCAGCCGTCTGCCCTGTGTGCCCACCAGGATGTTGGCCACACCGCCTCAGGCGTCCTCGCTGGCTGCCCTGTCCACTGTGGCCCCTGGGCAATCTGAGAGGATGAACGTGCGCTTTCTCTTTCTGGCTCTTACGAATTTCCAGTAAAAATGTGAATTGACCACAGTGTTCTCGCTGCCGTCACTAGAAAAGTTGTCTTGTGATGGCCAGGTGTGGGGTGCTGTGTGGCACAGTTCCTCGAAGCCTGGATGTGGTGCCATCTGTGACCTAGGGCCTGACCCCAGCTGTCAGGAGGGAGACCTGTCCCCCAGCCCCCACCCTGTCCCTCTGTCTGCTCTATCATGGTGGGAGCTGAGCTCACCCCTGGAGGAGGGGTAGCCCTTGAGCTACCGGCTCCTGGGCCCGAACGAGGTCCCTGGAGGGGTCTTTGAGGACGAGGTGCACTACTGCCCCTGCTGCCCCAAGAGGGCCTCTGGCTGTGGACAGGCGGGGTCCTCGTGGGTCCTCATCATGACCAGAGGGCAAGGGTCAGGGTCAACTTGAAGCCCCTCATGCTGGCCCAGCAGGGTCAGTGGGTCTGGATACCTGAGCTGCCTCCTCCAGGCTGCCCCCTGCTGTGAGGCTGCCACTGGAGCAGGGGGCGAGTGGGTCTGAGGGCTTACTCAGTTTCCTCTGGCCATGGCTACTGTCCCCGCACCTGACTTCGTCCCTGTGAGCAGTTCTGTGGCTGTGACCGCTGTCTCCCTTCCCTGGCTGGGTCTTCTGGGCAGACCTGTGGCCATTACCACTGTCCCTCTTCCCTGGATGGGTCCCTCTGTTGTCAGACCCGGGTGTACTGTCCTGCTGGGTGCGGCCCCCTGCCCTTGGCCATGATCCCTGTGGTCGCCATGAGGCCAGAGTGACAGCAGGGTGCATCCTGGGCTCCCACAGCATCCCACAGAGGCTGAGCCCTGCTGGCCAGCTGCCTGGCCTTCCTCTGCTGGGAGCACACACACTGGCCCCTGGCTGTTGAGCTCCTGGCAAGAGTGAGGAAGAGTCCTGTCCATCTTCTGCCCTTGGTCCCAGGAGAGCGGGCCTCCTCCCGGCCTCTGGTGTGTGGGCTTCCATCCCAGGAGGAGGCAGCGCTGACTGTGCCTGCCCTGCGCGGCTGCTGTTGTGATGGGTGCAGCAACACGCCAGGCACTTCCTGCTGGGGCTCCCCTGCCCTGCTGATCACAGCTCGGGTTCCTGAGCTCACAGGCCGAGGTCTGTCCCTGGCAGTGCGATGGCTCACTTCTTGTTTGTTCAAAATGGGGGAGGAGCTACGTGTGGCTTCTTACCCCCCTCCCTGGCTGTTATTCTGCAAATAACAGCACACCTTGGAGTCAGTGGACTATGCCACAGCCAGCAAAGCCTCCCAAGGAAGAGCCTACAGGGGCGGGCCTTTCTCACATCCAGAAAGTTCTGCTAGTACCAGCAGGGACCTCTGAGAAGCCCTGTGGCTCCCAGGTAGCCACCATGCCCTTCTGTCTGGGGTGACAAATTTGTTCACGGCAGGTCACCTGCCTCAGTGCCCATGGGGACACGGTTTCCTGGTGGCCACAAGACAGGGTCAGGTGCGCCTGGCCAGGCATCTAGAGCCTTACAGGCTGCAGCCTCATGCACATTAGCAATGGCCACGCCACCCTGCCCTGCGACTCTGAGCCTGCGTCTCTGAGGGCGGCCCTTGGATTAGCAGAAGCTGCAACATGAGAAGATGTTGTATAATGGGGCAGAGAGGTGGCTGCTGTTGCTGGGGTGGGAGCTGCCTGGACGAGGCAGGGAGAGGATGTGGGCCTGGTGGGCTCAGCCTGGGGAAGTGTGGCGGGGGGCAGGGAAGCTGTCAGGATTTGGGGGTGTCTGAGGGGGCCCAGAGACCACCACGCTAGGGATTTGCCCACCTGGCCCAGCACATGGACCTGGGGGTGGCTGTCCCACACTGTTCTGGGTTCTCCAGGTCCATCCTGCTTCCCAGGTGACTCGGGTCCCTTGGCATGCGGCTCTCCCTAGGGCCTGCCTGTTGCTGATTGCCCAGGACCCTGAGCCCGCAGGAGCAGGTGAGCCTGGAGATGGCTGGGGTGTGGCTGAAACCAAGTGAGCTTGTCTGCCACCAGGTGCCTGTGGCAGGTGTGTGGTCGTCCCTGGGCTCCTGGCTGTGGCATCTGTGGAGCTGGAGTAGCCCTGAGCCCTGCTGGCCCTGGGCCAGCCTGTGTGCAAACAGTTGTTCTGTGGGACGTGGCCTGGAAGTCAGGTGATGTCGTTTGTTCCCGGGTAGTTCCTGCAGCCACTTTCCGGGTTCTGTGGCTGTGGAGCCGTTGGTCAGAGGGGCAGATGGCATGCAGGCTGATCGGATGTCTGTGGTGATGGCGGGTGCAGGCGTTCATTTGGCTAAAAGCGGAGAGCCAGTGGCAGGCACCATCCACCTGCTGGGGACAGGAAGTTTCCCCTGTACCCCCACCCCTGGGATCTGAAACTCAGACCCAAGAATGGACCCTTTGTCCACACTGCTCTGGGCCCCCTGGCCAGCCAGACAGTGCCAGCTGGAGAAACAAACATGGCTGGTGCCCCCTTCCCTGGCTGCCCCCCTGCTGGTCTTGGTCTGGCTAAGACCCATCCCTCCTGACAGGGCCAGGTTCCATGCCTGGCACAGGGATGGGGCTGTGTGAATGGAGGCAGAGCCCTGGGCACCCGGAGCTGGCGGGGATCGGGGGGAGACCTCCAGCTGGCCCTCTGTGCTGGGGCTCTGCAGGCAGGGGTGTGTGCACCGCTCCACAGCTGCCATCCACCCAGCAGACCTCTGTCTCTTGCAGGCTCAGACACCACCTGTCACAGGTGGCCACCTCCCTCTGAGCACAGGACCATTCTGGCTGGCCAGGGGCTTGGATCACATTGCATTGTGTGTTCTGCCCACCTCAGCTTTTCTTCCTGCTCCAGATCCAGGGAGCTGAAGTCCAGCCCGGGTGCTTTTGGCCTTAGGTGCGGATTACCCCTGGCCCTACCACCTGTGCTGTGGGTGGACCGAGCTGACACGGGGACATCTGTTCTGTTTCAGGACTGAGCCTGTGGTGTTGGACAGAGAGCTAGAGGTGCAGCGGAGTTTCCTGTTGGGTGGGGCACGCCCTCTGCCTTCCCTGGGCAGTGGAATGTGGGGTCTCTGAGTGCCTGGGTGGAGCCCCTGGGGCTGCTGCCAGCCCTGGGGCCCAGAAGAGGGGTCTGCAGTGTCCAGCCAGAGTCCAGGACCCCAGGGCCTCTGGCTGGCACTGGACGTTCCGGGCAAGCTGGACGGGGGCTGTGATGCCAAGGGCTGATCCCTGGGGTGGGGAAGGCATCCATGGCATGTCTCCTCTTCCAAGCCCCTCCCTGGCCATGTGCCCAACCCTGTGAGTCACTGAGCAGAACAGGAAACTGCTCAGGGCTCAGGCCAATGTGGGACTTGGGTGCAGAGGGGTGTCTTGTGAGGGCAGCCACGGGGCAGGCCCAGGTCGGCCAGGCGGCCTGCACAGGGCTAGCCGGGCCTGGGCAGGGTCACCAGGCTGCTTTCCCGTTGTTCTGTGGTACTTGTATTTTTCTTGCAGATTTGCAGAAAGCTTTTGTCTATGTGGACTTAAGTTGGGTTCAGACTGTTGGTCATTTGTCTTAGAGTCGCATTTGTATATTTTCTGAAGAAAGAAATGAACTTTTATGCAGTTAAGGCTAATATTTGTATTTATTTTGTGTTTAAACATCCTCTTTGGAAACTCCTTTTCCATTCCAGAATTTGAAAAACGGTCCTGTTTCCACCTCACGTGGAGCAACCTTAAGAAGAGTGAGAAGAAACCTCTGGAATGTGGTCCTTGCTGTGGCGCGGGTGCTTTGTGCCGGTCTGCAGTGGGCAGCGTCCTCCCGGGCACAGGACGCACCTCTCGGCGGCCAGGGCCCTGCGTGGTGATGGAGGAGGGAAGGTCCGGTTCTTCTTGACAGAACAGTTAAGCCTGGGAGGGAGGCGTGGCCTCGCACCTGAGCTGGCAGGTGAGCGGAGGGGATTTAAGTTCACACTCGCACAGTGGCCACACCTGCCTTCCGCCTCTGCCCCGGGGATCCTGGAGCAGGCAGGGCCCAGGGTGGTGGTGCCTGTTGGCGTGGCCGGAGGCCCTGAGGCCAGCATGCTGTTCGTGCTGGGCGGCTCGCAGAGGTAAGGCCAGCGCCTCGGATGCCGGTGTTCTGGTCCTTGGCGGCAGAAGGAGGCGTTCTGTGTGTGTCTGTAGCAGGAAGTCGCCCTGGATTCGGGGGCTTTACCTCCTAAGGCCAGTGTGTCAGCCTCGTCTCGGCTGTGCAGCATCCCTCCCGACGCCCTCTCTGCTGGTCTGGCCCAAGGATTTTGGGGCCTGTGGGGTTCCGTGAGAGAGGCCTTGAGACTGCGTGGGGGTCTGGTTGCCTGCTGGATGGGCAGGGGGCACCGGGCCCAAGTCCTGCATCTTACCTGTGTGGGGACACTGGTGTGATGCCTTGAGACTTGTGTGCGTTTGAGAGTGCGCTAGGGTTGGGGCGGAGCTGAGCTGCCTTGGAGGGTCCCCACCAGGTCTGGCAGTGGTAGTGGCTGAGCCTGGGGCTGCTTCCTGCCCGCACAGCAGCCCGGGTTCCCTTCCCTGGTGGGTGTGGTCACGAATACTTCACGTTTCATGTCCCTGGCTCACCGTCCAGTTTGGGGAAAATTCCAGGGCCGGCTGGAGCCTTCCTCCTGGCTCCTGGGCCCACTGCCTGCCTGTGCGCCCACGGTCGCCACTGTGTCCGACTGCTTTTAGGATGTGGCTTGTGGAGGCCCCCACTGGGGACCTCTGACCTCCCACCTCGTGGCCTCCCGGCCTGGACCACCTGGTCACCCCCCTGCCCACGCCCGTGGATGTTGTCCCTGTTGTGGAGAGGCTCCAGGGCCAGCCCAGTGGACTGTCACAGGTTTCCCGCGTCTGGATGCCCGGCTGCACTTCCGACACAGGCTGCCCAGTCCCAGGTGCCTCCGAGCACATGGAGTCAGCCAAGGCTCCTGGGAGGAAGGGGCACAAAGCCCTGCTCTGCTGAGTCACCTCCCACAGCCCCAAGCAGCCCAACCGCCCCAGCCTCTTGTTTGTTTTCCTAGAATTGTGCCAGTGCTGCAGGCTCCTGTGTGGCCCGGCACACTTGTTTTCTTGGCAGAGCCACCAGCCCCGGGCACACAGAGGGGACAGCAGCGAGCCGGGGGGAGGAGCTTCCTGGGGCAGAGGCCAGTGGGGAGACCCGGAGCTGGGAGCCTGCGGCCTGGGGAGGGCCACGCGCTGTGGGTTCCTGGCTTGTGGCAACTGAGGGCTGGGTCTCCTTACCAGGCTCCGGCTGCTGCCTGGGTCCAGGGTGGTGGGGCCTCCTGAGGTGCTGCTTCCGTGGCTGTGGAAGGACCGTGGTAGGCAGCCCTGAGTGCCTGCCTGTCTTGCCAGGCTGCGTGGCTCCAGTGTTGGCTGGCTCTGCTGGTGCCATCATTGTGGCCACATATGGGCAGCACAGGAAGGGCTGGAGGGTGGGGGCCCTTTCATGAGGCACAGAGCCCATCTTGCCTGCTCCCTGTGCTCTGAGTGCCAGTGTCTGTGAGAGCCAGGCTGCATCTGCAGTGGGCCTGGGACCCTGACATCTGCCCTGGTCGTGGACCAGGTCCAGCAGGACCCGTCTGACTGAGGCTCAGGTGTGCTCCATGGCACGTGTGTGCAGGTGGCCAGGGCCAATGACTCTGGAGTTTGTGTCCATTCCTGGGTCAACCACGACTGAAGGAAGCACTTGGGAAGAGAAGCCCAGAGGGCTGCTCCGGCCGTGGACCTGGTCAGCTGGCCCTGTGGAAGTCAGCTGGGTCCTATCCCCACAACCATGCTGTTTGGGTGTGACTGGTACTGTCCTTGGAGACAGGCTCTGGGGCCCCGGCCCACCCCTGGGGGCTCCTCCGTGCTGGTGGACATGAAGCCTAGGCTGCCAGCTGCCGTGACCCTGGCCAGAGGCCGTGGGGTGGCAAGCAGCTCCTCTGGACAGGCAGGGAGAGGGAGCTGGGTGTTGGCCCACAGCGAGGGTTGCTTGTTCCTCCCAAGCCCGGTCCTGTGAGTGGCTTGACCCCTGCCCCACTCCTTCCTCACCTGGACATCTCTCTCGGTCTGGGCAGGGTTTGTCATAGAAACTCCTGGAAGGGCCAAATTGGAAGTTCGGTGAGTTTCCTGTTTTCCTGACACCATGGGCCGTGGGAGGAAGGAGGTGTCAGGCTGGTGCTCAGCCGGCTTCAGTTACAACAGGGCCATAGGGGACTTGGGCCCCCACACCTTCATGGCTGCCCGGGGAAGAGGCCTGTGAAGGGGACAGCAAGCAGGTTTCAAGTGCCTCCTGGGAAAAGTCATCCCTCCTAGGCTTCTCCTGGGGCCCTGTGGGTGTTGGGGAGAGGCGGGGAACCCCAGCACTGGCCAAGGGTTGGAGCCCTGTAGGCTTGATGCCCTGCCCCCTTCACTGGCTCCAGCTGGCTTTGGCAGACCACACTCATGGCCTTGGCAGCCCAAGTTTGAGGTCCCCTGTGGCACCTGGGCAGCATCATGGTCCTGGGCTCCAGGCAGATGCTGTGGCCTGGGACTCAGAAGCCGAGGGGCTGGTGATGGGGGTGGGGGGCAGGGCCTGGCTCTGTTTGCTGGGCGAGGACAGTGGGGTGTGGCTGCCCTCTTAGGCAGAAATGCCCAGGAGCCGGAACTGCCTGGGGAGGATGTGCTGGGGACACCACTAGTCCTTGGGGGCAGAGGAAGACTCCAGGCTCCATCTGTCACCTGGGGTTCATCCTTCGTCCACCCGTGCAGCTCACTGAGTTAATGGAAAGGAAAACAACTGCTCCCACATTTACAAGACATGGCGTTGCCGCCCGGCTCCTGCCCTCACGGCCACGCTCCCTGGGGAGCAGCTGTCCCCGGCCACACTCGCTGGGGAGCAGCTGTCCCCGGGACTTGTTAAGCTTCTTGGAGGTTTACACCCCTCTCCCAGTTGGAGAAAGAGCTCACGACAGGTTTTCCCAGGTCAGCAACGGCTAAGGAAAGGGAAAGACGAGAGCTCTCCATCTGCATCGGGAGCCAAACTTCATGAAAAGCCTTTTGAATCTGGGTTTGCCCTTGTACAGATGAGAGCCAGCTGGGCTGGGCCGGCAGGGTCTGGAGCATCCTCAGGCAGGGAGGGGTGTGCTGGGCAGGGAGGGGCCATCCTCAGACACAGCTTTGGGGGGGCCCAGGACCCCCAGGTGGGCTGGTCCCTGCCTCTAGGTTGTGGGGCCCTGCCGGCCAGGAGAAGGGTAGAGGGAGGGCTTGGTATGCAGGGAGGAGTGGCAGATGAGTAGCCTTATCAGTCAGTTAAGCCCTAACTATATGGAGCTGTAAAAGGCCCACACCTGGTAAAGGGTCAGCAGCAGGGGCCAACTGTCAGCTGGAGCTGGTGACTCAAGTGGCGCCTCTTTGTCCCTCCTCCCCTGGACACAGGCACCTCCAGCCTGGACCCTGACCACTGGGGGGCCAACGTGGTCCTCTCCCCCTGGCTGCAGCTGAGCGGATCTGATGTGCTGCTGCCATTGTCTAGCGGCTGAAGCCCCTCGTCCCACTGTGGCCGCTGGGAGCCCCCTCCATGTGGTCGCTGAGCCTTGGGTGTGGGACTGCAGCAGGAAGTGGGGGGAGGGGCATCACTGGGATGGGGCCACAGCGGTGGAAGGAGGGACTGTGTGAGCAGTGAGAAGCTATCAGTCGCAGTCCCCAGGCAAGCCGACTTTTGCAGAGACAGCTGTTGTGGGGGAGGCTCTAGCCTTGTCTGCTGGGAGAGGTGTAGGCCAGGAGGTATGGGTGGGGTGGGGAGGGAGTGAGGCTCAGGTGGCCACTGGGCAGAGACCCTGAGCAGAGCCTTGCTGGGCCAGGTCATGGCAGCCCTGTGGGCTGAGGGACAGCTGGGATCTGACTTACCCTTGCTGTTGGAGGGATGCCCGCACTGGGGAACACAGGATGGGGGGCAGAGACGCGGGTGGGTAAGGCAGGGGGCTAGATTAGGGCCACAGGGTGGAAGCCACAGCTGACTCACCCTATGTAATCCTATCAGCCTACCTGTCAGTCAAATAAGCCTTTTCTAGGATGTCTCCCTTTACCTGGGCCCTGGGGGAGGCACCACCTAACCACCCCTTCTCCAACCTCAAAAGAGGCTGGCACCTGGGAGGGGCTCTCCTTTGCTCTTTCTCTGCCCCCCCCCCCATCTTTTCCCTTCCTGGCCCCTCTATTCCTGAGCAATGCCCACCCATGTGTGTGTTTTCCTCACCTTTTAAATAAACTTTATCAGTGTGTGCCTTACTTAGAATGCTGTTCCAGGTGAAAGGCAAGGGCCTGGATTAGGGGTTTAGACCCCACCTTGCCCACAGCACCCAACAGGCGCTGCCTCAGCCACACCCTCCCCACTCGACCGTGAGGCCCCACAGCTGGGGCCCACAGCCCAGAAACTGCTATGTGACGCCGTTCAACCAAAGGTCCTGGGAACTGGATCCGGCCCCGGTTCTGCCACCCTTGTGGTGAGGAGGCCGCACAGGGCAGTGGGTGCCTCCCGAGCTCGCACAGCAGCCCGGTGCAAGTCAGAATGAACCCCTGGAAACTCCCACCGAGAGCCCAACCTCCATGGTCTGATGAAAGATGAGTGGCCCTGGTGTCCCAGCCTGGTGATGTCCATTTCCCTCCCGTTGCAGACTCACAGGGTCCTGGCGTCCATCCGAGTTTTCTGCCCCGGTCCTTGGGAGAGATCCCCTCCCCACGAGAGTGCTGCCTCCCCAGGAGATGTTCTGCTGCCCCACAGGCAATTCCAGCCCCCCATGGAAGGATGCTGATGCTCCAGGGACGGCCACGTGGGCAGGGGCAGTGTTCCCACTGGTTAGCGCGGCTCTGGGCTTCAAGTTTCATCCGCACTGTCCATAGAGACCCCAGGGGCAGAGCTCGTCATGTGTTTTGCACAAGGGGACACATGGCAATCACTGGGCAGTGGCAGGGCAGGGCACATACTCGGTCACAGAGACCCCACGAGGCGGCAGGGAGGGGCGGCCGGCACCACACGCCTGTCGTGCGAGCCAGTCCCACCCAGAGTTCACACCCAGAGCGGCAGACGTGTCTTCTGTTTACAAGCATGGGCTCCCTCCTGGAGACTACTGGGCACAGCCCTGACTCTGACCGTTTGCTTAGAACTTTGGCCTCAGCTCTCCTCGCCAACTCGCTGGCGGCTTCACTTTGTAAACCGTGGCTGGTGTGCAGTGCACCGTGGCCTGGGCTGAGCGGCAAGCCGGAGCTGGCCCTGCCCGCTCTGCTCGCTGGGCCTTTCTCGTCCCGCTGGCCATGTGTCCTCTCCTGTAGAGGTGACTTTCTGTCAGCTCCAGTGTCTGGGAGAGCCGGGCTCCTCATCGTCACCCATTTGAGCTTTAAAATCCACTTATACGAAATTTCAAGACCCTCTCTACAGAAATCACCCCTTCCCCCAGGGCACAGGAGTGTGAGGGCTCTTGCTCGGGCCCAGCCCAAGGAGCAGACAGCTGGGGAACACAGGGACCCTCATCTCCCCCCGGCAGCCTGCTGGTGCTGATCCAATCCTGGTTACAGACGTCTGCCTGGCTGCTGTCCCGCCCCCACCTCCCCGGCCCCAGCCACCTGCCCATCAACTGCCCTCTCCCAGGCATTGGCAGAGTTCTTGCTCTGGCTTCCCCTTGCTGGAATCCCGTGCTCCTGTGCACCCTGTAAAGCCCAGCGTTAAAGCCCAGCGCACACAGGAAGCTCCCCCCGGTGTCCTCTGCAGACAGTGAGCTCCTGGAGTCCAGCTGTGACCGTGCCTGACCTCACGTGGGGCTCCCTGCCCTGTCCCTCCACCCCTCTTTGCCTCCATTTCTTCCCACTCAGAAGCTTTCTTGGCATCAAATGCCCATCCGAAAGCCCCGCCCCTCCAGGCACAGCCCTGCTGTGGGACTGCAGCCGATAGACCCCTTTCCTTGCAATCCTCCTGCTCCTCCAAGTGGGGGAGGACGTGGGGTGGGACCTCCCTGGGAGAGCAGATATGAGGCCTCTCTGGGAGTGCCACAGGGGCACCGGGAGTGGTTGGGGCACCCACAGGGCACAGTCCTCTGCGGCTCTGGGTCCAGGAGCCAAGTTGTTATCAGAGTGAGGTGAGTGTACCTGTGTCTGCTCTGGGCCTCTGACAGCTGGGACTCCAGCTAGTTAGTCACCCACTGAGCCACCAGCATTGTGGTCCGATGCGTGCTGGGTGTGGCGAGGGCGAGGGAGCTCAGAGCTGGGTACAGCCCCTCCTGGTGGCTATCACAGTCCTGACCAGGGCCCTTGTGAGGAACGGGGAAGACCCAGCCTCCCTGGACTCACACCCATCTCAAGAGGGGTCCGGGTAGGACGGAGGTGCTGGAAGCTCTCACCGGAACACACAGTGGGCCAAATGACCCAATACACTGTGAGGCACACCCATGCTTCGTTTTTGCTGCCAGACTGCTAAGGACCACCCGAGGCTCTGGGGTGCACAGCCGGGGACGCTGGGGCTGGGGGCCGGCCAGGGTGGCTGTGTCCTGCTTCGTGGTCCCAGTGCTCCTTGGCTGTGGACACTGAGTCGGTGCAGCTTCCTGGTTCTGTCTTAAGCCTGGCCTCCCCCAGCGTCAGGACTGATGGAGGCCTCCAGGTGGTCCTCGCCTGCGAGGGGGAGGCCCCAGGCCTGTTTCCTTCAGAGGAGCCTCTGCCTCACGGGGGAGGCCGGGCAGACCCGGGCTCAGCCACATCCCCATCCCCATCCCCATGTTCTCCTGGGTGTGCGTCAGGGCGCCCGTGCCCACCCCCTTCTCCCACCACAGAGACAATGGGGGAATGTGAGCAGGCGACCGAGTTCTGGCCAACAAGACGCAAGTGGCGTTTGCTCTGGGGATTCTCATTTGTGTCTGGCCTCGTTGCTTCTCCCTTGCTGCTGATCCAGATGTGAGTGTGATGTCTGGAGCTCGGTAGCCATCTGTGCCTGGGAGCCACCAGCATCCTCGTTGTGCTGGGCTTAGACCTGCAAGAACCAGCAGCGAGAGCAGTGGGTGTGGGTTGAGGCTGGGCTGAGGCAGAAGTGGGCAAGGTGAGTGGGAGGCTAGAGTGGTCACGCCCAGGCTGCAGAGGGTGGTCAGAGGCCCCTTGTATCTGTGGTGACCATGATGTCCTGGGGAAGCCCGATGGCTGGGGGAACTGACTTGGTCTGGAGACAGAAACTTGGGACAGCCCCCTTTCGCCAAGACTGGAGGGGCTTCCTCTCCCTCTCTCAGGTCCCCCTCTGCCGAAGTGCACGGTGGCCTCCGGGGTGGCACAGATCCCAGCGAAGAGGGCCCTGGCCCCTCCCGTGTGATCTTTGCTCAGTGAGAGGGCCTTGGCTAGTGGCAGGCAGGCCTGGCTACTGGTGGGGCCCCTCTGCTGCCATGTGTCGACGTGATCTTTGTCCAGGGACAGGAGGGCTGGGAGTCCCCGCCTGATCTGAACCCCGAGTTCAGGTGCTGCTGCCTGCGCCCCACCTGCAGAGTTCCTGGGACCAGGCCCGGCCCCTGCTGTGGGCTCCTCCCTTCTCAGGTGTGTGTGGGGTGATCCTTGTCCCTGGCACTTGCCTCTGTCTTGGTACAGCCGAGACCTCAGGTGGGGCGGCCGGAGCAGCAGGAATATAACCTTCACATCCGCACCAGCTGAGGGGTCAGCATGAACAGCACCTGGTGAGGGCTCGTCCTGGGTTCTGGGTGGCATCTTTTCTGTGTCCCCCCTTTGGGAGGGATGGGGTGGGAAGTGGAAGCAAACCCCTGAAGGGTGACCTGCCCAGCCGCGCTCCCCAACCCTAAGCACCTGCACCCCCCTCCAGGAGCCATCACACAGGGCCGTCCTCCAGCATGGAGTCTGGGACGACACAGTCCCTGCCCCTCAGCCACCCCTCTGTACCCTACCCGATCTGTCTCCCAGAGGGTCCCTGGCCCCTCAGGTTTATGTGCCTCAGTCCCCATCCCCCTGCCCCCAGTTCTGAACAAAGTGGATGGCAAGGGTGGGGCTGAGTTAGGCCAGCCCAGGTCTCCCCAGTCCAAGGCCTGGAGGCGGCTCCAGGAGGTCCTGAGGGTCACTGATGACTCACCTGCCCCCAGGTCCCTGCAGGTTGTGCTCCTCCTCCTGGTCCTGGCCGTGTTCCTGCTGGTGGGCTTCCTGCACATGGACATGGAGCTGCTCCTGCCGTAAGTCCCTTGTCACACCACAGGGACAGGGCTGCTTGCCTTCCAGGTTGTCTCCCCTGTGGGAGAGGGGAGGCGGGCGGGCCCTTCCTCGTGGGGAGCCCAGTGTGTCCCCAGTGCTCTGGGGACGGCTTCAGGAAAGCAGGGCTGTGCCTGGGCCAGGGGCTGGTGCTGGGCACAGCCGATGCATGCAGAGGTCACTAGGTGCAGGGAGCCAGGCCGCCACTAGATGAGTGGCTCTGGAAGGCCCCCTGGTTCCTCCCAGCAGAGGTGGGCCGGGCCCACTGGTGTCTGGGAGGTTAAAGGTCAGATCTGGGGCATCTCCCACCACATTCCACACAGGTGGCCATTCACAGCCATGCCTGCAGCCCACCGTGCCCCAACTCAGGGCCTTGGCCAGGGCATGGCCTTCCCATTGTGTGGCCCCACTGGTTGGGTCTCTGGGTCACGTCCTTCTCCTCTTGCCCTGACCCACCACCCCGGTCACCTGCATTGGCTGCTGCTCCAAGGTGGCTGGGGGGTGCTGTGGACGGGTGTAGGGATGGGCCCTGTGCTGGGCAGGCCTCGGCTATGGAGGCCCACCTTTGTCCCTTCATGAAAGGTCAGGCAAGAAATGCTGGTGTGTGATTAAGGCCACAGGGCCCGTATCATGCAGGGGTCTGGGGAGCCAGACGGGAGTAGGGGCTGGGGGCTGAGCCTGTGGCACATGTGGGGACACCCAGCCTCCAGGGGAAGCTCCCAGGGTCCAGGCTTAGGGGGTTTTCAGGTGATGGGGCTGGGGGTTCCTGGTTGGGGCTCTCATGTTGGGGTTCCTTGGGGTTTTGGGGTCCTTGCTGACTGTGGCCCGTGCCCCCTCCCAGCCTGCTCAGTGGCCAGGCTGAGGGTCCTCCGGTCACCAACGTCATGTTCCTCAAGACCCACAAGACGGCCAGCAGCACCGTCCTCAACATCCTGTACCGCTTTGCTGAGAAGCACAACCTGTCCACCGCGCTGCCTGCCGGCGGCCGCGTCCACCTGGGCTACCCCTGGCTCTTCCTGGCGCGCTACGTGGAGGGTGCGGAGGAGGGCAGCACCGGCACGCCGCGGCGCTTCAACATCATGTGCAACCACCTGAGGTTTAACCTCCCCGAGGTGCGGGGCCCCGGGCTTGCAGATGCGACCGTGGGACTTTGGGGGTTCAGCCTGGACAGACGAGAGCAGGTGTGAGGCCATGGCGGACACTTCTCCAGGCTGCCTGTGGCTGCTCTGGGGACCTCCCTCTGGTTCCTGAACACAGCCAGCCCTGCCCAGCCTGGCATGCGTGTGCTTCCGTGTCTGCTTGCGAGATGATGCACTCTCCACAGCTCCCTCCTGTACTCAGGTCCCAGCCCGAGGCCACCTCCTTTCCTGCCTCTTCTTCCAAGAGGAGATGAGAAGGGAGGGCGTGGCTAGTGTGAGTGTGTGAGTCAGTCTGGGAGCCCCATGGATAATGCCTGGCAGGGAGCAGGGTGGCCTGGGCCAGCCACAGGGAGGCCAGGTGGGGGGAGGCGGGTGATGAGGTACAGGGCAGCGGGTGGCCTGCCTCTGGATATCACCATTCTCTGACCCTCGGCCCCAGTAGGCACCATAAATGTGGCCCCTCCAAGGATACCAGGGGCCCTGGGGAATGTGTGACTACTACAAGGATCAGTTTCCTCATCTGTGAAATGGGCTGATCACAGCCAGGGCAGATGAGTGTGATGGAAGCTCCCGGTCCCAGGGACCCATGGGTGCCCTCTGCATCCCACACAGAGGCCTCTGGGCCAGCCACGGCTGCCACAGGAGGGCTCCCCCCGTCCTGCCACCCCTATGCTCACCACTCTCCCAGCCTTTGCTCTGGACACTCCATGGCTTGCATGTGGCTTTGGCTCTGCTCCAAGGAGCTGTGGAGGGCACCTGTGTGGGAGGGGCTCTGCAGGCTGGTGGGGGGGGGGGGAGGTTCTGCACACAGGTGTTTGTGAGAGGGGCTCAGCACAGGTGCATATTTGTGGGCGGGGCTCTGGGCACAGGTGCATGAGGGGGCTCTGGGCACAGAATTGTGTGTGGGCGGGGCTCTGGGTGCAGGGGTGTGTGTGTGTGTGTGAAGGGCTGTGGGCAGATGTGTGTGTGGGAGGGGCTCTAGGTGTTGGTGCAGATATGTGTATGGGGAAGAGGCTCTGGGCACAGGTATGTGTGGGGGCAGGGCTCTGGGTGCAGAATAAGTGGGCGGGACTCTGCGTGTGTGTGTGCGCGTGTGTGAGAAGCGCTGTGGGCACAGCTGCGTGTGGGGGCGGGGCTCTGCTCGCAGGTGCTCTGAGGGTCTCCCGTCGTCTCCCCCAGGTGCAGAAGGTCATGCCGGAGGACACCTTCTACTTCTCCATCCTCAGAGACCCGGGCTACCAGCTGGAGTCCTCCTTCACCTACTACAAGGGCTACGTGCCCGCCTTCCGCCACGTCAAGACGCTGCAGGCGTTCCTGGAGTCGCCCGAGCGCTTCTACAACGACAGCCTGGTGGTGAGCAACGCGTACGCGCGCAACAACATGTGGTTCGACCTGGGCTTCGACCACAACGCGCCGCCCGACGAGGGCTACGTGCGCGCGCGCATCGCCGACGTGGAGCAGCGCTTCCAGCTCATGCTCATCGCGGAGCACTTCGACGAGTCCATGGTGCTGCTGCGGCACCTGCTGCGCTGGAGCCTGGACGACGTGGTGGCCTTCAGGCTCAACTCGCGCAGCGCGCGCACCGTGGCGCACCTGCCGCCCGAGAGCCGCGAGCTGGCCCGGCGCTGGTGCGCGCTCGACTGGCGCCTGTACGACCACTTTAACCGTACGCTGTGGGCGCGGCTGCACGCCGAGCTGGGCCCGCGCCGCCTGCGCTCCGACGTGGCCAGGCTGCGCGCGCGGCGCCAGGAGCTCACCGAGCTGTGCCTGCAGGATGGCGCTCCGCAGAACCAGGCGCAGATCACCGACCGGCTCCTGCGCCCCTTCCAGTCGGGCGAGGCCGACATCCTGGGCTACAACCTCAGGCCCGGGCTGGACAACGCCACGCTGCGCATGTGCCGGAGGATGGTGATGCCGGAGCTCCAGTACATGGCGCATCTGTACGCCCTGCAGTTCCCGGAGAAGCCCCGCAAGGCCATCCCCCTCCTGGAAGAGTAGCGGGCGCTGGCGCGGTTAAGGGGCCGCCGCACACCCGCGCCCCTCTCCCAGGCCTCCCCGAACACCACTGGGCGGGGTGAAGATGAGGGACAGGAGAAGAGGCTCGCTCTTCTCGGAGGGGGCCCTAGGTCTGGGACCCCGACCCTGCTGGCCACAGACACGGCTTGGGAGGGAGTGTGGTTGAGCTGGGAGAGAGCTGGGGCAGCCATGCCTGCAGGAGCTCAGACTCTCGCCAATTTCCTGCAGTGGGCACCTCCCCCCTGGCCAGGGCTGCGCCTGAATACAGGCCCCGGGGAGCTGGCACCGTGTGTCGGGGGTGGGGGCGGTCAGCCTCCCACTGGCAGAGCCTCTGTTTCCCACAGAGCTGCTCCGACTGAAGGGTCAGAACCACTTACCGCTCAGTGCCCTCGACACCGCCCTGCAAGAGTGAGCCTTCCAAGCTCAGAGGCTCCAGGTTGTCGTGGACACCGGGTTGGATGGAGTCCAGCAGGTGCACCTCTGGGCAGCCCTCCCTCTTTGTCCTTCCTGGGGGGGCTGCGCAGAGACCTCACACAGGAAGCCTTGGTCCCCCACTCCTGGGCAGAGTGGGGTGCACCGTGGGCGCCCAGCAGTGCCCACTCAACGCTCAGCCCGTGGGTCAGCCTGGGCCTGTGTACCCAGCCTGGGAGGGTCCTCACAGCCGCTTCATTGCCAGTGTGTCTGTGTCTGCACACGGAGGCTGAGGGACAGCAGCTCCCTCGGACGCCAGCTTAGCATGTGAATTAAATGTAGGGATTGTAAGGGGCTCTCAGAACAAACTGGAGAATAGAAGACAATATTTGGAAATTGAAAACATGGCTTCTAGAAACAGAATTGGGACAGTGCAGAAGAGGATGAACATTGACCCAGAGTCCAGAGGCCCCGGGGTCACCTGCTCAGCCTAGAGAGAACCATGGGAAAGCAGGGAGGGGGAGCAGAGGGGCGGAAGGCCATGGAAAAGAATCCGGGTCAAGCGATGGAAAAAGTGACCCCCAGTCAAGGCAAGACTCGGAGCTGTCAGCGTTGCTACCCTCTGAGTAGCCGTCTCACAGGACACACGGCCGGCTCTCTGCTCCGGCGTGTGAGCCCTGCAGGACAGAGCCGGGCCAACTCGGGTTGGGTGTGGGTGGGACGCAGCCACTGCACTGGCACCCCTGCCCGGTGTTGTCTGCAGACCCAGAGCCTGCCCTAAGCTGCTCAGCAAGGGAGGGCGCGGAGCTCAGCCAGGATTGTGTCATTCGGTGCTGCCTGGGGGGTTGGGTGTGTCTTACAATGTAAAAATGAACGCAGTCTGTAATAGAGAATATTGGAAAAAACCTGCTCAAGTTGTCCGCTCGGAAGGGTTGCGGAAGATGTTGCAGCCCTGCGCAGCGATGGAGCCGGGACACAGGGTGGCTGCACTTGCTGCCTTGTGTGCGGCCAGCGCTGACTGAGGTAGGACTCAGAACTCCAGGATGGGAGATCCCATCAAGGACATCTCCCTCACCTGCCTGTACACAGCGGGCAAAGCCTCAGCTGTGCCCAGGGGCCCTGGACATGGCCTTGAGGGGTGGGGCTGGGTGTGCCCTGTGCGCAGGGACTGGGAGGAAGACTTTCCGGTTGTTCAAGAGAAGGTGGAAACGCAGGTTTCTATGTTGTCAGCCTCCGTAGCCACCAGAGGTCCTCCGAGGAGCCGCGGTGTTAGTTGGGGAAAGCAGCCCGGGCAGCTGCAAGCACATTCGGAGAGGCTGAGGCCAGGGGAGGTTCTGACGGAGAGAGGAGCGCTGCATGTCTGCAGCAGTAACCGAGAGCGCAGGACGAAAGGCAGGTGACCTTGGTCTGAGGCGGTTTCTGTGTAAGGCCGTGGCAGCATTCGTGCCGTGGTTGTCAAGCTAATGAAAACCAGAGAGATTCTCCCGAGAGCAACGGGACCGACTGGGAGTAGCCGAGCTTGGTGACAGCCGTGCATGTGCACGACGAACCTCCAGCATCTGCAGAGGCTGGGGCGCAGGGAGATTTCGGTTGCAACAATCCTGGCACAGGAAGACTCGTGACAAAGAGGCTTCTGTCCAAGGGTCTCGCAGGAGTGATTGTCCTGCCAGCTGTGGCCCTGGCCCTCTCGTGATGGTCACTCTCAGGAAGTCACGATAGAACCTTGCCTTCACAACCTCCCAGTTATATTCATATTTTTGTTTGGATTGGCACATGTGGCTCCATTTTTTAAAAAAGATTTATTTATTTGAAAGGCAGAGTTACAGAGAGGGAGGGAGGGAGAGACAGGGAGGGAGGGAAGAGAGAGAGAGAAAGAAAGAGAAAGAGAGAGAGAGAGAGGTCTTCTATCTGCTGGTTCTCTCTCCAGATGGGTACAATGGCTGGTGCTGGCTGATCCAAAGCCAGGAGCCAGGAGCTTCCTCAGGGTCTCCCACGTGGATTCAGGGGCCCAAGGACTTGGCTATCTTCCATTGCTTTCCCAGGCCATAGCAGAGAGCTGGATCGAAAGTGGAGCAGCCGGGACTAGAACTGGCGCCCAAATGGGATGCCGGCACTGCAGGTGTCAGCTTTAACCACTACACCACAGCGCTGGCCCCATCCATTTTGATTTTGACAACTTTTACATTTCCTTTTTTTTTTTTTTTTTTTTTTTTTTTGACAAGCAGAGTGGACAGTGAGAGAGAGAGACAGAGAGAAAGGTCTTCCTTTGGCCGTTGGTTCACCCTCCAATGGCCGCCGCGGCCGGTGCGCTGCTGCCGGTGCACTGCGCTGATCCGATGGCAGGAGCCAGGTACTTCTCCTGGTCTCCCATGGGGTGCAGGGCCCAAGGACTTGGGCCATCCTCCACTGCCTTCCCGGGGCCACAGCAGAGAGCTGGCCTGGAAGAGGGGCAACCAGGACAGAATCCGGCGCCCCGATCAGGATTAGAACCCAGTGTACTGGTGCCACTAGGTGGAGGATTAGCCTATTGAGCCGTGGCACCGGCCTACATTTCCTTTTTTGATCAAAATATTTTCTCTGGGGGCTGGTGTTGTGGCGTAGCAGCGTCAGCATCCCTTGTGGGTGCAGCGGGAGTCCTGGCTGCTCCACTTATGAAGCAGCTCCCTGCTGTGGCCTGGGAAAGCAGCGGAGGGTGGCCCAAGTGCTTGGGTCCCTGCACCCACGTGGGAGACCTGGAGGAAGCTCCTGGCTCCGTGGGCCCCTGCTCCTGCTGATGCAGTCATCCAGGGAGGGAACCCGTGGATGGAAGATCTCTCTGTCTCTCTCTATAACTCCGACTTTCAAATAAATAAATGAATCTTTAAAAAAATGTTTTCTTGGCCAGCGCCGCGGCTCACTAGGCTAATCCTCCGCCTTGCGGCGCCGGCACACTGGGTTCTAGTCCTGGTTGGGGCGCCGGATTCTTTCCCGATTGCCCCTCTTCCAGGCCAGCTCTCTGCTGTGGCCCGGGAAGGCAGTGGAGGATGGCCCAAGGGCTTGGGCTCTGCACCCCATGGGAGACCAGAAGCACCTGGCTCCTGCCATCAGATCAGCGCGGTGCGCCAGCTGCAGCGTGCCGGCTGCGGCGGCCATTGGAGGGTGAACCAACGGCCAAAGGAAGACCTTTCTCTCTGTCTCTCTCTCTCACTGTCCACTCTGCCTGTCAAAAAAAAAAAATGTTTTCTTGGAAGCCAGCAGTTAGGTTTTGATTGTCTCTCAGAGCCAGATTGGACATGTGCTGTCCCAGTTGCTGGTCTGGTCCCACATCCAGCGGAAGTGCACGGCTACCAGGAGTCAGGGGGAAAACGCTTCCGGTCACTTGGGCAGGAGTGCTCCTCAGGCTACAGTGTGGTCCTTGTTGAGCTCCGTCCTGCTGTGCAGTGGGCAGTGGCTGTTACCTCAGCACTGGGCAAGCACTAAATTGTAAGGAGTTGCACTTTCCCAAGGCTCTCACAGGTAATGCGTACAAACTTTCATGAGAAAAACACAAAACGAAATGAATGAGAGAACAAGTCCGATTCAGCGTGGGCGTTCTGAGCCAAGGACCTAGGCTTGAAGGTGACATGAGCATCGAGCGACCGGGGGACCCGGGCAGGACTCACTGTAACCACTGAGGCTGCTGGTTTATTCTTTGCAATGGGGCCTCGGCTCCCCGGAGGGCATTGTCCAGAGAGATCAAGCAGTATCAGCAACAAAGCAGGCATTTTCAACTTAACCAATGAGTTATCTAGGGCTGGGCTGAGTTAGTGTCATAGGAAGGGACCAGGGTGTGGGGTGGGTGCTGGCAAAGCTGCTCCCTGGGTGCCTGCGGGGTCCCTGGGTCAGGTTCTCTCACGTTCATGGGAGCTACCCCTCCACTCAGCCTGGGTGAGAAGGGGGGCACAAACAGAGCAGAGAGCAGTGACAGTCCCTAGGGGACAGGGAACCTGGCTCCGAGGGTGCCTTCCGGTCCTGATCCCTGTGTAAATGTCGCTGGTCACGGCTGGGGGAGCGTGGTGACCTTTGTGTGGGGCGCAGGCCAGGTGTTAACCCCGGGTTGTCTGGCTTCGGCTTGGGCTCAGGGAGCAGCTCCTGTGTGCAGTGACTGGGACGGGACTGGAGTGAGGGGCCCCGCGCTAGGCAGCCAGCGTAGCCCGGGAGAGAATAAAACAGCAACGACAGACGGCCTCTGCCTGCGAGCAGGAGCGTTATCTGTTTAAGAAGCAATTTTTCTCTCTACCGTCATACTGATTTTTACCAAAGATAATTAAAGTAAAACCAATTTGTTTGCAAAATGAGCTTGATGAAAGTGCCTTACCATACAACAACCCCAATTTAGAAACCTCTTTCCGCTGGAAACGTGATGCAGGGCAACATCAGATTCTGCCGCGGCGCCGGGTCTGCGGGGTGTGTGGCCTGCGGGGAGTGGATGCCCCTTCAATGACAGGAAGTGTCTAAAGCAGGCCAGGCTGTGCTCGCTTCGACAGCACATATACTAAAGCAGCCCAGGTTTCCATACACCGCTCCTTAGAAAGAGAACAGGCCCTCTCCCGAGCTCAAGCAATCACATTGTGGTCAAAAAGCAACAATGAAAACACTTGTGAACACGGAGTGAATTTCTGAGGAATCGGGCGGGGAGGGGAAGCAGTGCCCTGCTCGCCAAAGCATGCTACACGCCGCAGCTGTGGCTGGCGGGGCCCAGGGAGAAATTCCTGAACTCCAGCAGAGTCATGGGAGTAAAAAGCCACGATGCTGGGGCCGGTGCTATGGCAGAGCGGGTAAAGCTGCCGCCTGCAGTGCTGCCATCCCGTATGGGCGCCGGTTCGAGTCCTGGCTGCCCCACTTTTGATCCAGCTCTCTGCTATGGCCTGGGGAAGCAGAAGATGGCCCAAGTTCTTGGGCCCCTGCACCCACGTGGGAGACCGGAGGAAACTCCTGGCTTTGGATCGGTACAGCTCCAACTGTTTCAGCCATTTGGGGAGTGAACCATTGGACGGAAGACCTCTCTCTCTGCCTCTCTGTAACTCTGACTTTCAAATAAATAAATAAATAAATCTTAAAAAAAAAAAAAGGCACGATGTTGTGAGTAGAAGGCATAAAAGCCCACACAGCCCCACGCCATCGTCCTGCTCTGGTCACCTCTGTGAGTGGGTCCTGGCCTCCCTCGGTCCCCAATGCTGCTTGGGAAATGAGTGCTCAGGCCGCGGTCTCTACGTTAGCAGAAGCCACCTGCCTGGGGCGTGAGTCTGGTTGCAAATGCTCTGAGAATTCAAGCTGTGGGTCACGAGCCATTAGAGTTCAGCAGCTGACGAGGAAGCTCCTCGCTGATGTTCTCACATACAAGATTTTTAAAAAAGATTTATTTGAAAGACAAAGTTACGGGGAGAGGGATACAAACACACACACACACATGCACAGAAAGAGAGAGAGAGCTCACTGGTTCCCTGCAACAGCCAGGGCTGGGCCAGGTGGAAGCCAGGAGCTCCATCAGGGTCTCCCACATGGAGCAGGGGCCCAAGCGCTTGAGCCATCCTCCAGTACTTTTCCCTGGCGCATTAGCAGAGAGCTGGATTGGAAGTGGAGCGGCCAGGACTCAAACCAGTGCCTGTAAGGGATGCTGGAGTCACACCAGTCAGCAAGGGCACCAAGATTGTCACCACACTGTGTGTGTCGGCCAGAGTGGGGCAGGGAGCAAGCAAAGGCCAGACCTCAGGTCCCAGAGTGTATGTGCAGGTGCAGGAGATCCCGAAGCTTTGAGGGGAGTGGAGGGGCACAGGCAGGTGGACAGCAGGGGTGTCGGAAGCACCAGCGGCGGGTGCAGGCCCAGCTGTACTTCCTCCCTGGGACAGAAGCTGAGGTGTCCACTGGCAAGTGGGGGAGGGTCCTTTGATGATGAGTCACCGCTCTCGGGCGTCCTGCAGGAGAAGCTGTGCCAGGTCCGGGCTGGCCAGGGTCCTGGAGCCTCTGTCGGAAGCCTGGCTGTGCGCCCTGTCCCTGGCGAGTGCCGGTCCACACAGGCGCCAGCTCCCAGCCACACTGCCTGCCCCGCAGCCGCCTGCTCCTGCTTCTCGGGACTTTCTCGTTCACATGCACACAATCTGCAGAGATGGTATGTGGACCACAACGAGTTTGGGCTGTTCACTGTCACCTTAGCAGTTTTACTTTACGTCTGTGCTCGTCTGTCTGTGAGCAAATTTTCCGTTATCTTAATAGAAGAAAAAAGTTGCAGATTCAAAATAGGCAGAGGAAAACAGACGGCCAGACAGTCGGAGCTCTGAGGGCCTTGCCGGCTGACTCTCCACCCTCCTCCCAGCTCCCGTGCCCGACGCCAACTTCCTGCCCCGGAGCCCTCAGGGAGGCAGCAGTGATGGCTCAACTGGTTGAGCCCCTGCCAGCACGTGGGAGACCTGGATGGAGTTCCCGGCTCCTGGCTCTGACGTGGCCCAGCCCTGTTGTGAGCGTATGGGTGTCTGTCCGTCTGCCTCTCGTGCCTGGGAATGGACCAGAGTCTGGCAGAGAAACTCTTTGCGTGTGTTAGGAGTTGGGGATCCCATTTCGTTTCTCCTGAGAGCAAAGAAAAACCTGCAAGCTGGTGAGGGAGCGTTAGGGTCTGGGCAGGGCCCTGCTGTGCCACGACACCCTCAGGGTTCCTTTTGTCCTTGGTGCACGGCTCTGGCTTGCCCAGCTGTGACGGAGTTTTCCGGGGGGAACTGTGGGCCTGGTAGGTGCCCTAGGGGCCTCCTGGCCACCTGGACCAGTCCTCCTCCCACGGCAGCTCCGTCCTCAGCCGGTGGCTGCCACCTCGTGGTTTTTGTGGTCATCCCACACCCAACATTTGAAATTTTTTTTTTGGTCTCAGAGATTTTCAGAAATAAGTAGGGAGAAAAGAAGTGAAAGAGACAAACGATTTAAACATGAGCATAATCAAGACAAAATGAAAGGCTCGCAGGCATTCTAAGCCAGAGCAGACAGGATACGGAGTGGCCCAGGGAGACCGACGGCCCCTCCTGCCTGCCTCTTCCCCGCAGGCCAGCAGCGGGCTGTGCAGTGGTGCCCGGGGCGCCCGGAACACAGCCTGGGCTCCCCTCCCAGGGCTGTGAATGGAAGTGGCTGTGGGGCCACAGAGCCCCCCTGCCAGTCCCCCGCTCCGTCCCCTCTGAGAACCTGGATGCAGGCAGCTTGTGTCCTGACTGCAGGGCGCCCCGTGACCCTTAACATTCTCAGAGCCCATCTTCCCTTGAAGTCCCCAAGTCCCTGCAGTGTGGGAGGGGCGGGAGGATGCTCGGACCCTCATCTTACTGGCAGTGCAGGAGACCGGGGCCTCCTCCAAGACCCTGGCCTGGGCAGTTGTCACTGAGGCCACCTCAGAGACGGGAGGAGGACAGGCAGGGTGAGTGGGGCTGAGGGGCCCTGGGGGCACAGATGGGGGATGTGGTGCTGGCTCTCAGAGGCCGATCATGGCCACTCCACAGCTAGGCCCCTGCCCAGCGCAGCCCTTGTGGCTGACCCTCTCCTCCCAGTGTGAGGGTGTCACTGCAGAGGGGGACCTGTGTCTGACACAGCCCAGTACCCACCCCATGCCTACCAGCACCCTGGCCCCTGCTCTGGGCTGCACTGGTGCTCTGGCACAGCCTTGCTCTGCACACGGCCCTGGGTGAGGGCACCCCTGCTCTGCACACGGCCCTGGGTGGGGGCACCCCTGCTCTGCACACGGCCCTGGGTGGGGGCACCCCTGCTCTGCACACGGCCCTGGGTGGGGGCACCCCTGCTGGCAGAGGGGGTGTGGTGCTGAGTCCTTGCCTGAGCCAGGACACTGGTGGCGCAGACTGGAGATGCACCCTGGGGGGTTAGAACTGCCCAGGGATCCAGACAGGCACCAACCACAGAAGGTGACTTGGGGGCTTTGAGGGTGACCTGGGCTGGCCCTTTGCTCCAGGACAGAGCCCACACAGGGCAGGCTTGGGGTCAGTCTGTGGTTATCCCCCATGGAGCTGAGGGCTGACCTCTACAACTCCTCTAGGTCTCCTCCTGGGCCTCAGTCCTCCCCTGACCCCGTGACCGATGTCCCTAGGTGGGTGGGTGGGCTCTGGTGAGTGCTGGAATCCAGCTGTCCTGGTCCAGTCCAAGGCCTGCACCTGCTGCATTGGCTGAGCTGTGCAGTGCTGGTCATCAGGGCTCCCACTTCCTCCTGTGAGGAACAGGGGCTCCCAGGAGCTCCAGGTCCTGGGGATGCCTGGGCCGGGCCCCAGCCAGGAGGCCCTGAGTGTGGGGCAGCCCTGTCCCTCTGAGACCTCAGCTGTCCCTCTGTGCTGAGAGAGGATGGCTGCCAGTGTGGGCCTGGGCTTTGGGGAGCCAGCCAAGGGTGGGCAGAATGTGTCAGTTGTGCCCGCTCAGCCTGGAGGGACACGTGGCACCCCACACCTGCTTCTCGCTCGGACACAATCACCCTTTGAGTGCTGAGCAGGGGCTGCTAGGAGACAGCAAGCCGCTCACAGAAGCCCGGAGCGGACTGGGCCGAGGGAGCGCCCGCATGCTGCCCTGGCCCGGAGCTGTGCCGCAGCTGCGGGGCTGGCTGAGGTGGGCAGGGGCAGAGGACGAGGCTGCGGGGCTGGCGGCCGAGCGTGTACCAGGCTCTCTCCTCAGGTGAGTGTCCATCCCTTCACACCACGCTGCAGCACACGGGGCCCAGCTGTCTCCATGTGCTTCAGTGGCTCTGTGGGGTTCTGCTGCCTCCTCCTGTTTCTCTCTGTGTATGGCCTGGCTGTGGCCTGGCCGGGGTGGCTGGCTGTGGGCCCGACTGCTCTGGTCCTCCTCGTCTGTGGCATCTTTCCCCCTCTATGTGCCGGACTGGGCACCCTCTCACGGCCTGGATCCGCCTCTGTAAACCAGATAGGGCCCTGCACCTGCTGGGCTGGCTGAGCTGAGCAGGCTGGCGGGGTGGCCTTGGCAAGCTGACCTCGCCCCAGACGCCTCCACCTGGCACTGCTCTGTGCTGGGGGCTCACTTGGGGCCCACTCACAGGGCTGAGGCTGTCTTGGGCCCGTGCTGGGCAGGGGGTGTCCGTTTCCTGTGCTGCTCAGGTGCCCAGGTAAGGGCCCTGCAGGTGGGTATGCAAGGTCAGGGAGCAGCTGCTAGAAGAGGGGGGTCACACGTGTCCCCTGAAGGAGCCCTGCTGGTGCTGTACTGAACACCAGGTTTGGGAAGTGGCTGAGGGACAGGGTTGAGGGTGGCCGTGGGAGGGAGGGCTTTTCCCACACCTGCTCTCCCGACCTTGAGTGATGTGCAGCTTCTGCCATACTCCTCCCCCCCCCCCCCACCTCCAGGAAGCCCACCTGGCCTCCAGCCCCAGCTTCTGTCCTGCATGTGCCCTGGCTCCTGGGGGCCTCTCATCTCCCTTCCATTGCTGCTGTCTCCAGCTGCAGTCCACACTCACCAGCCGTGTGGCTCCTCTCGCTGGGAGGGCTCGGTGGGGAGTGGTTGTGGCCCTGTGGCCCTCGGGGTCCCTCTAGGAGTCTGGCATGCGCACCCCTGGGACTCAGGGCACACCTGGGAGCCACTTGGGGTCCATTCCCACCCCACCCCTCCCCCTACTTTGGGTTGGCCAAAGGTTCCCAGTGTGTCCTTGTGTGTCTGTGTGTGTCCCTGTGTGTTCATGTGTCCCTGCATGCCTGTATGTGTCCCTCTGTGTGTCCCTGTGTGTCTCTGTGTGTGTCCCTCTGTCTGTGTGTCCCTGTGTGTTCATGTGTCCCTGTGTGTCTGTGTGTGTCTTTGTATGTCTGCTCCTGTGTGTCCCTATGTGTCCATCTGTGTGTGTCTCCATGTGTGTCCCTGAATGTTTGTGTGTGCCCCTCTGTGTCTGTGTGTCCCTGTGTGTTGCTGTGTGTCCCTGTGTGTCTGTGTGCGTGTTCCTGTGTGTTCATGTGTCCCTGCGTATCCATGTGTCCCTGTGTGTTCATGTGTCCCTGTGTGTCTGTGTGTGTCTGCCCATGTGTGTCTGTGTGTGTGTGTCTCCGTGTGTGTCCCTGCATGTCTGTGTGTGTCCCTCTGTGTGTCCCTGTGTGTTGCTGTGTGTTCATGTGTCCCTGTGTGTCTGTCTATGTCTCTGTGTGTCCATGTGTGTGTCCCTGTGTGTCCCTGCATGTCTGTGTGTGTCCCTGTGTGTTGCTGTGTGTTCATGTGTCCTCATGTGTCTCTGTATGTCCCTGTGTGTGTCTGTCTGTCCCTGTGTGTGTGTCTGTCTGTCCATGTGTGTCCCTGTGTGTGTCTCCGTGTGCTGACAGGAGGGGCTGGCTCCACAAGCACTAGGGGAAAAGTCAGTGTGGGGAGTGGCTTCCCTGGGGTGAAGGAACTGCAGACAGGGCTGTCCCCGAGGCACGCACAGGGAGGGGCCTGGGTGCTGGCCGGGATGGGGGATGGCTGTACCTGTCGTGCCCCATCCTCAATGCAGCTCCCTGCAGCCTGCTGTGATCAGCAGAGCATGGAGCCCCCTCGTGTCCCCACCCGGACCGTGCTGTTCCAGCGGGAGCGGACCGGCCTGACCTACCGCGTGCCTGCACTGCTCCCCGTGCCCCCTGGGCCCACCCTGCTGGCCTTCGCGGAGCAGCGGCTCAGCCCGGATGACTCCCATGCCCACCGCCTGGTGCTGAGGAGGGGCACGCTGGCCAGGGGCTCTGTGCGGGTGAGCGATAGGGTGGGCAGGGGCTCCAGGAGAGGGCAGCATGCAGGGAGACTGAGGGTGGCTGGCAGGGTGCCTTGGTCTGGGAGTCCTGAGCACAGCCCCCCCCATCTGCAGTGGGGTGCCCTGTGTGTGCTGGATGCTGCAGCCCTGCAAGGCCACCGCTCCATGAACCCCTGCCCCGTGCACGACACCAGCACCGGCACCATCTTCCTCTTCTTCATTGCCGTGCTGGGCCACACGTCCGAGGCCGTTCAGATTACTACAGGCAGGAACGCCGCCCGCCTCTGCTGTGTGACCAGCCGCGACGCCGGTTTCACCTGGAGCAGCGCCCGGGACCTCACCGAGGAGGCCATTGGCGACGCTGTGCAGGGTAGGCAGCGGGGGTCCCTCAGTCCACATGTGTGGGAGGCCCTACCAGTCCACCCTTTTCTGGCACTGTCCATCACCCCCGGGCTTCTCAGTCCCAGCCAACATTAGCATCCCTTCCTCACCCTCTGGCCGCCTGGGGCAGGGCAGGAGCAGCGGCCACAGCTGAACCACAGGCTCTCAGGTCTTTATCTGTAGAGGTCATCCCCTCCCCCAAACCCAGCACTCCTGCCCAGGCCTGGCCCAAGCCCCAGGCTTCCCTCCCCTGCTGCTGCCCCCTCCCCCAGAGCTCTGACACTTTGGAGGGCTGTAGCACCTCCCCTCTGAGGCTCCGCCCTCTGCTGCTCCGTCCATCTGGGCATCACTCATACCAGGTACCCTGATTCTGGGCTGGCAAGAGCCTGGCTCAGTGGGCTCCTGGGCTCCTGCAATGCCCATGGGAGGCTTGTCCAGCCAGGAAGGCCTCAGAGTGGAGTGTGGAGGGGCGGCCTGCCTGCCCGCTGCCCTAATCCCAGGCATGTGCCCTCGCTGCCCTCCTGTGCCCCCATCTCCACCCCCACCTCCACCTCTGCCCTCTGTAGACTGGGCCACCTTCGCAGTGGGCCCAGGCCATGGTGTCCAGCTGCACTCAGGCCGCCTGCTGGTGCCTGCCTACACCTACCATGTGGACCGTCGCGAGTGCTTTGGGAAGATCTGCCGGACCAGCCCCCACTCCTTCGCCTTTTACAGTGACGACCACGGCAGCACCTGGCGCCACGGGGGCCTCGTGCCCAACCTGCGCTCGGGCGAGTGCCAGCTGGCCGCACTGGGGGACAGCCTCCTCTACTGCAATGCCCGGAGCCCCCTGGGCAGCCGTGTGCAGGCCCTGAGCACCGACGGGGGCAGCTCCTTCCTGGCTGGGGAGCTGGTGCCTGCCCTTGCCGAGACGGCCCGGGGCTGCCAGGGCAGCATCGTGGGCTTCCCAGCCCCACCCCCCAGCAGACCCCAGGGTGACGGAGCGTCCACAGGCACCAGGAGCCTCCCTCACTGTGTGCACCTCTGTCCTGGATTCCAGGAAGCCCCAGAGGCTGGTGCTGGAGGCCCCTGTGAACCCCAGGTGCCCTGCGGGCCCTCCTGCCTCCCGCAGGCCCGGAGTGCTGGGCTGGGACAATCTGGCCCAGCGGTGGGGCCTGGGGGGCTCCCTGCAGCCTCTGCGGTGTCCCCTCAGAGGCCTGCCTGGCTGCTGTACTCACACCCCACGGGGCGCAGGGCTCGGCTCCACATGGGGGTCCGCCTGAGCCGCACCCCCCTGGACCCCCGCAGTTGGACGGTGCCCTGGGTGATCTACGAGGGCCCTAGCGGCTACTCGGACCTGGCGTCCCTCGGGCCTGTCCTTGCGGGAGCCCCGGCCTTCGCCTGCCTGTTCGAGAGTGGGGCCAGGGCCTCTTACGAGGAGCTCTCCTTCTGCTTGTTCTCGCTGGACGAAGTCCTGGAGAACATTCCCCCCGGCCGCCAGCCGCCCAGCTGCACGGACAAGCCTTCCGGGACCTGCCAGTCCTCCTGATGGCCGACGCAGGCTGTGGGAGGCCGGGGTCACCCCAGCATGGACAGAACCCTGGGAGAGGGGGAGGGAGCTCTGGCAGGGCTGGGGCGGCTCTCATGGCAGCCGTGGGGGTGGCCGGGCTGGGGACCAGCTGACCCTGGGTGATGGCCGGCTTCCTTCTGAGGCTGCCTGAGCGGGCGTTGGGACCTCAGAGAGCCCGGGCCCGGGGATGGCTGCGGCGAGTCTTCTTTCTCACACCCTGGCTCACAAATGCTGAATAAACAGGTGAGAGTCCAGGTGGGTGTTTCTTTCCACCAAATGGGGAGGGCCTTGGACCCCCACCAAATTTCCCCTCCCCAGCCAGTGTGTTGCTAGAGAAGCTGGCTTGACACGGGCTGAGGGGGCTGCCCAAGGACAGAGGCTGTGGGGAAGCATCGGGGTGCACCACAGGGGCAGAGCGACTGTGTGAGAGCCAGTCGGGGAGGCCAGAGGGGCCTGCAGTGGACCCTCCAATCCCTACTTCTCCCAGGCTCGAGTCCGCCTAGACACCATGGGCTGGGGGTGTATATCTACACTGCACACTGGCTCCCTGCAGACAAGGGTGGTTCTGTCTACACTGCACCTCTAACTCCCTGTAGACAAGGGGTTGTCTACACTGCACCTCTAACTCCCTGCAGACAAGGGGTTCTGTCTACACTGCACACTGACTCCCTGTAGACAAGGAGGGGTTCTGTCTATACTGCACACTGACTCTCTGTAGACAAGGGGGTCTGTCTACACTGCACCTCTAACTCCCAACAGACAAGGGGTTCTGTCCACACTGCACACTGACTCCCTGTAGACAAAGGGGTTCTGTCTACACTGCACACTGACTCCCTGTAGACAAAGGGGGTTCTGTCTGCACTGTACACTGACTCCCTGCAGACAAGGAGGGGTCTGTCTACACTGCACACTGACTCTCTGCAGACAAGGGGTTCTGTCTACACTGCACCTCTGCAGACAAGGGGGGTCTGTCTACACTGCACCTCTAACTCCCTGCAGACAAGGGGGGGTCTGTCTACACTGCATCTCTAACTCCCTGAAGACAAGGGTGGTCTGTCTACACTACACCTCTAACTCCCTGCAGACAAGGAGGGGTCTGTCTACACTGCACACTGATTCCCTATAGACAAGGGGGTTCTGTCCACACTGCACACTGACTCCCTATAGACAAGGAGGGGTCTGTCTACACTGCACACTGACTCCCTGTAGACAAAGGGGGTTCTGTCTGCACTGCACACTGACTCTCTGCAGACAAGGAGGGGTCTGTCTACACTGCACACTAACTCCCTGCAGACAAGGGGGGTCTGTCTACACTGCACACTGACTCCCTATAGACAAGGGGGTTCTGTCTACACTGCACACTGACTTCCTGCAGACAAGGGGGTTCTGTCTACACTGCACCTCTAACTCCCTGCAGACAAGGAGGGGTCTGTCTACACTGCACCTCTAACTTCCTGCAGACAAGGGGGTTCTGTCTATACTGCACACTGATTCCACGTGGCCTGATCAATGGTTCTCTCTGCCCTGGTATGGACTGAGTGACTTGCCGACCCTGGGTACTGTGTCAGGATCCCAGCCAGGGCTCCCACTCCATCCAGCAGTGCTGGGCACGGGCCCCCTGCCTGTGTCCAGTCCCTGCCCACCTGCGATGCCCAGGAAGGAGTGGGCAGAGGGTGTGGTGGGACAGTGTCCCTGTCCAAACACCTCAAGGCAGGGCTCAGGCTGGGCTGGGGGCTCATGCTCTGGGTCCCCCCCGCTGTGGCTCAGCCCGGAGGCTCGCTCCCCCATGTCCAGGCTGGCCACACCAGGGCCACTGAGGAGCTGCAGCTCAGCAGCTGGGTTGAGGCAGGGTTGTGGGTGGGGCTGGCAGCGCTGACACATGGGACATGGGCCCCGGAGGGACGGAAACAATGAGTGTGTTCCCGGAAGGCGTGCAAAGTGCTGACGGCGCCCCCTGGGCTGGCGCCCACCCCCACCCCCAGCCCCGGACGCCAGCCCGGCAGACCGCTTCCTCCTCCCCCGGCTTGGCTTTTTTTTTTTCTTCTTTAAATTCTGGTATTTTGGTGCTCAAGTTGCTCCTAACCTCCTTCCTCTGGGACCACGACTGTCCTGTACCCCCCCCCCCCCCCCCCCCCCGCTGCCGGGCTCGTCCAGGACTCACTGCACCTGTGCCCTGCAGAGCTCCCTCCTCCTCCTACTCAGGGCCAGCTGGTGAACCCCTGGCCCTGGGGTAGGGTTCCTTCCAGGGCCTGATGGGGCCGTCCCCTCCAGGTCTGCTGCCCCTTGCCAACAGCCTTGGTCCTCAGGCCACTGTCAGACCACTGCTGTCTGACTTTAATTTGTGCTTTTTTTTTTTTTTTTTTATGAGTGGAGTTGAAAATCTCATTGCTTTAGAAATATATGTGGAAGGGAACTTCAAACAGTTTGTGGCACAGCGGGTAAAGCCACCACCGCCTGTGACACCGGCATCCCACATCGACGCTGTTTCAAGTCTGGCTGCTCCACTTCTGATCCAGCTCCCTGCTAATGGTCTGGGAAAGCAGTGGAGGATGGCCCGAGTGCCTGGGCCCCTGCACCCACATGGGAGACCTGGAAGAAGTTCCTGGCTCCTGGCTTTGGTCTGGCTCAGCCCTGGCTGTCGCAGCCATCTCGGGAGTGAACCAGCAGATGGAAGATCTCTGTCTCTCCTCTCTCTCTCTGTAACCCTGACTTTCAAAATAAATAAATAAATCTTTAGAAAAACAAAAAATTGTGGAAAATGGAATTAAAAGATAACGCACCACTTGAATACCCCTTGTATACTCACAGGTGCATATTCGTGTTACACATGCATACATATGCCTGCACACTGCACACACATACACATGCAGCACACGCCTGTGCAAGACACACACATACAGCCACATACACATGTCACAGCGCGCACATGTAGGTCCACACTGTATACCCGTATGTGCTCATACACACATGTGTGTACACAGTTTTACCATCCTGTCCACTTTCCTTCTGCACTCGGATCCTGGCCCTGCCCAGGCAGTGGCTCCTTCTGTGTGGGAGGCAGTTCTCCGTGGCAGTGAGAACAGCTTCGTCGGTTGGAGGCAATGGTTCTCTGCCACCCAAGCCTTCTGCTTTCTGACTTGAGGAGCTGGGTACCTAAGTCTCTTCTGTGATTGCCCTCGACCTGGACCTGCCACAGCCATGCCATCAGGGTGAGCTCCTGTCTGTCCTCCTCTTCCTTCTGGCTGTGCATGGGGGCGCAGCAGGTGTAATGAGTGCTGTGACTCCACCCAAGTGCCCTTCCAAACCCCCGTCTTGGTCCCGGCCCCGCCCTGCTGCGTGCTCCCTACAGCCTGGCTATTGCTCCCTCTGACGGCCACAGCTCCGGGATGGGGGGTTTGTGGGGCCCACGTGAGATTTGTTGGTTAGGCAGGTAGAACCACCGTGTCTGTAAGCTCAAGGCCCCGTGACCCTGGCAGGCTCTGTCCAGTTCTCAAGCTGATGCCTTGGGCATTGATCTCACACTGCCACTGTAAAGTTCTCTGCTCATCCCTGACCGGCTGGCACGGCTGGGTGCTCTCTGCCACTGAGCTGTGCGCACCTCACATCACAGCCACACCACCGTCATCATCCTCCTGGCCTTGCTCCCTCCTCCCTTCTCCCAGGACTGGGCCCCAGGTGGCAGTCCCAGGGAGCTCAGTGCGGCAGGGGCCAGTGGGCAGCTGTGATTCCCAAGGACCTTGGGCCAGCTTGCTGCCCTCGGAGCAGGGTATCCACCTGCCATTGCTGTCAGCAGATGAAGCCCAGGGGTGTGTGCTGAGGACCACGTTCCCCTCTCTGTGCCTGCGAGGCACCCACACACACTGTGGCCCTGCCCGTGGCACCCAGGCCTCGTGCACAGCCTGGAGCAGCCCCCTCGGCTGCCTCAATGGCCAGCCTCAGGGACCACCCCTGTCTGAGGGGCTCCCCAGCTCAGTCACAGGGCTATGGGGGAAAGAGGGACAGAGGTGGGGCAAGGGTCTTTCTTCAGGGGCCACCTCCTGTGAGGCCTGGCCACATAGACGTCACCAATAGTAGCCATCTGTTATTTAATAATAATGTAATAGAACCAGAGAGTGGCTCCTGGGCCTGCCCACCAAGGTTCCCACTGGCCAGGGAGCCTGGACTCTGATCGCCCTGCCCCTGATGGCACAGGAGCCTGGTGTGGTCTGGGCCAGGCTGTGGGGCAGCTGCTTGAAAGGCCCTGAGTTCACCCATTGCCATGGGAGCTCGACGCCCTGGATAAGCTGGGGGTGGGGGGAACATTAGCCTCCTGCCCCCCCCCCCCAGAACTCTACAGCACAGCCATGACGGTCCAAAGCCCGGCTCTGACAGCGGGGCCCTGGGGTCCTCCGTATGTGTGTTGCGAATGGCCGCCAGCTGCAGACCCTCAGGGTCTCCTCTGTTGCCTCAATTCCCCTGCTGTACAAAGGGCCGAGTGGGGGTGGAGGGACTCCTGTAGGGGTCAGCCTGGTGCTCCCTGGTCTACTCGGAGCTTCCCAGCCCTGTGTCCCTGCCCTGGGAGTGATTCCAAGACTGCCACAAGGCAGAGTCCAGCCAGCATCCTGCCACAAGGACCACGGCCACTGGGGCTCCTGGACAAGCACAGCAGCAGTGGCACAGGAGGGCCCGGCTCAGGCTTTTCCCAGCTGACGTCTGCCTGCCTGCTGCCCTGGCTCACTGAGCCTCAGAGCGGCCTGGCACAGGTGCAGAGCAGTCTCCCGGGGCAGCTCGGCTCTGGCAGCCCCGAGCCCTGTGCCCCACATGCTCCTCTCGCGGCAGGAGCTGACCCTGGGCTCTCAGCAGGATGCTGGTGAAGGAGGGAGCTGGTCAGAGGGGCCAAGAGCAGTGTCCGTCCTCAGACCTCAGAGGCCGTGGACCCCGCAAGCAGTCAGTGGAGCCCCTGCGGCCAGGAGATGAGGTGCCCAGCCCGTCGGGGAAGACGATGGTGGCATATTCAGTCTGTTCAGGGACAGAGGTAGCTGGGGGCTCTGGGGTCTTCTCTCGCCACTGGAAGTCCAGCTCCCCGTAGTCCATGGTGGAGCCTGGCAGGGCCAAAGGCTTCTCCTGCAGGAAGAGGAGGGAATGGTCACCACAGGGGAGATGCCCCTCAGCCAGCTTGGGAAGGGGCCTCCACCCCACACAGACCACGTACAGGATTGGGACACCACCCTGGGGTCTGCGGCTCTCACACAGAGTGGGTATTGCTCTGCGAGCAGGAAGCAACACCCTCCTCGCTGGCTGTTCCCTGTCCCCCCCTCCCCACCTAAATGTCCCTGTCCCTGTTCTTGCTGGTTTAGGCTCCAAAGTGTGCACACCCAAGAGGAGGCAGGCCACCTTCTGGGAGGCTGCAGGCCACCCGGGCAGCAGGACTTGGCTCTGCAGTTGGGGCCCGCTTTTCTCTCCTGTGAGGCAGAGGAAAGGGGGAGACTCACCAGGGGCTGGTCCTGGCTTTTGGGTCCTTCAGCCTCTGCAGAGAAATACATGTGGAATCAGGGCAGACATGGGGCAAGTAGGGCCTTCAGCAGTGGGGGCTGGGCTTGCAGCCCCTTGGGAGGCTGTGGGGTCATAGAAGGGTGCCACGCCCACCTGCCCATGTAGTGACTGGAGCCCCAGCTTGGATCACAAACTGTCCACCTCAGTGTACAGATGTGTCCGCACGCCCCTGGGGCACAGCATGCAGCAAGTGCACACGGGCTGTGCAAGGCCTTCCCATGCACTGCTGCTCGTGCCCCCCCTCCCTGGCCCAGCAGGCGGGCACAAGCACAGGGTCAAGGACACTCAGAGGTGAGGCTGGCAGTCAACAGGGTGCTCTCCTCCCACCCAAGTGGATTACATGCAGCCCAGGGCAGCTGGTCAGAGGCAGAAGACCCCAACAGATGGCCGCCTAGAGAACATGACGGGGAGCTGGCAGTGTGTGGCCTGGGGAGGGTCCCGCAGAGGACACCAGGGCATGGACCCTTGGGGCAGGGCTCTAGGAGCTTAGGCAGGGCCTGCTTCCCACTCAGGGATGCCGCCCGGGTCAGTGACTTGGGCGATATACTGTCCAGGACCGCAGATGAGGCCCCCAGGGTGGTCAGGGTGAGGGAGGTGAGGGCATGTCCCCAGGACCCGAGGGTGGCCAGGGTGTGTGGGGGACATGGCTGGGGTCCCTGAAAAACCCCAGATTCTGGGTTGCTGGATGGTTGGTGGCAGAGCTGTAGACGGGGCTATGACATGCATTACCTTGTGTTGTTCTGGGGCACATGGCCACCAGAACCCAGGCCAGCAGCAGCAGCAGCAGGACGCCTACCAGGACACTGGGGACCCCAATGAGCAGGCCTTGGAGCTGGCCTGGCGGCCTGGGTGAGGGACTGGGCTGTGCTGTGGATGGCTCCAGTAGTCTTTCTGAAGGGGCACAAAGGACAGGGGTCAGGGTCAGGGGCTCAGGGGCTCCCACAGTGAGCTCCCCAGACCCCTCTAGCTCTGTGCCCCCCAAAGTCAAGTGGGTGAGATGCTTCCAGGGGAGGGGCTGGGGTGCGACAGTGGCCTGGAGGACACCTGGTGGGGTCACCCACCCAGCACGGTCCTCCCCCGTCCCTGAGGCCCCACCTGTCACCGTGAGCTCCACCTGGGGGCTCTCCTTGATCTGCATCAGGGGGTACAGGGAGATGGCCCCGCAGAGGTAGATGCCACTGTCGTTGCGCCGGACGCCGATGCCGCTCATGTGGAAGCTGCTCCCGTCCGGCAGCCGGGTGATGCGGAAGCGGCTGTCCTGTGGCTGCCGGCTGCGGTCCTCGGGGAAGGCAGCCAGCTTGTCCCTCTGGTTGCTGGGGCTCAGGCGGTACCAGTTGAGCACGAAGTGCTCGGATATGTTGGAGAAGCTGCAGGTGAAGGTGACGTTGGCCCCCTCAGGCACTGTGGCCTGGGCTGGGGAGAAGGTGAGGGGGCTCCAGGGCCTGTCCTGGGCGTCTGGGGGGTGGGGAGAACAGCAGGGTAAGGAGGTGTGTGGGCAGTCAGCAAGACCCTTGCTGCACCCCCACACCCTCGGACAGGACGGCCCTGGGCAGCAGTGCCTCCTGCTACACCCCTAGGGCAGGGCCCCCCATGGCTCTGAGCCCTGTCCCCATTTCTTCCCCTGAGGGCTTCACCCTTCCCCAGGTAACCCCAGGCTGCCAGAGCTGCGAGAGGGCCCAGGAACACAGCCCAAGACCTCCCAGGCTCAGGTCCAGCTCTGGCCGTCCCAGGCCCCTGGCCTCAGGTGGTGGGGCCTGGTCCTGTCCTCTATGGGGGGAGGGCCCCAGGAGGTGGACAGTGTGGAGCCCCCACAGATTCCAGCAAGACTCTGGGGCCGGAGTCCACAGCAGGGAGCCCCCAGAGACCACAGGGCCAGGCTCCTTCTGTGGCTGAGGGCGAGGCGGCACAGCCGCCAGGACTCGGGAACTCTGGCTATTTCTGCCAAGGGCTGGCGTGGTGACAGCACACTCGTGCCTCTCACAGCCACCCTGTCACAGGAAGGAGGGACTGTCCCTCCTGTGGGGCCCATAAGGTGTACTGGGAGCCCTCCCCCAGCGCACTCCTCTGATGGCCGCACAGGGACTGGAGGCCAAGGCTCCTGGGCTTTTCCTCCTGGGAAGGACCCTCTATCTGGGACAGCTTCCCTGCGAGACTGTGGCCAGGTCTCTGTTTCACACTGGGGAGAGGAGGCTCCGAGGCAAGAAGCACAGCTCGGCCGTCAGCACCCCGGGCTGCGTCCAGGTGGCCTGAGCCAGGGACTCAGGGAGCCAGGCCCCGAGCAGAGCACAGAGAGCCCTGGCCCCTAGGCTTTCGGCTTCCGCCTGCCCCTCCTGCTGGAGGTGCCACCCAGTGAGCCTAGAATCTACACAGCCCATGCCACTGGCTCCCCCAGGACGGCGCCAGCCCCGTGGTGCTGACCTAGCCTGTGGCTGAGCGGCCACCACCTGGAGTTTCATGTGCTGCTCTTCCTCTCGCACTGTTCCCCTCTGTCCTCCTGACGCTGTTGCCCTCTCCCTGCTCCCCTCAGACCGTCTCCTCACACTGTTCTCCTCTCACTGTCCAGGTCACACTGTTCCCCTCACACTGTCCCCCTCACATCATCCCCCTCACACTGTTCCTCTCTCACTGCTCCCACACCGTTCCCCTCCCACTGTTCCTATCCAATTGTTCACATCACACCACCCCCTCACACTGTTCCTCTCTCCCTGTCCCCTCACACTGTCCCTCCACATTGTCCCTCCACACTGTTCCTATCCAATTGTTCACATCACACCACCCCCTCACACTGTTCCTCTCTCCCTGTTCCCCTCACACTGTCCCTCTCACACTGTCCCTCCACATGTTCCTATCTAATTGTTCACATCACACCACCCCCTCACACTGTTCCTCTCTCCCTGTTCCCCTCACACTGTCCCTCCACACTGTTCCTCTCTCCCTGTTCCCCTCACACTGTCCCTCTCACACTGTCCCTCCACACTGTTCCTATCTAATTGTTCACATCACACCACCCCCTCACACTGTTCCTCTCTCCCTGTTCCCCTCACACTGTCCCTCTCACACTGTCCCTCCACACTGTTCCTATCTAATTGTTCACATCACACCACCCCCTCACACTGTTCCTCTCTCACTGTTCCCCTCATACCACCCCCCTCACACTGTTCCTCTCTGACTGTTCCTCTCATACCATCCCCTCACACTGTTCCTGACTGTTCACATCACACCGTCCCCCTCACACCATTCCCCTCTCACGGTCCAGGTCACACTGTTCCCCTCACACTCATGTTCTTCCTGGCCATGCATGCACTGTTTTTATGTGGCTCCATCCCATGTGACAGCCGTGGCTGGGCCTGGCTCTCCACACCATGTGGAGTGACACACGTGACACTGTGGTTGCCATGGCTGGGAGTCCCTCTGCCTCTCAGGTTGTGGCTCACCGAGCCCTGGTGGCTCTGAGGAAGTGGCCACATTGACCCCAGTTTTTTCTGTCAGGATGGCCTAGGGCCTACCCCAGTATAACCAGCTTTGGAGGCCGGTAATACCCAGGTGGTCTGTGTGGTGGGACTGAGCCACCCCTCTGTCCCCACCGGACAGGTCTGAAACAAACCCTCTAAGAAGGAAGTCAGGGGTTTGGAAGGGCCGAGGAGGCACTGAGACATCAGCCACAGCCTGCCCAGGGACAGAGTGGGCCTGTCCTCCCTCATGTGCCAGCTGGACTTCCAGCCCCCTCCCCCTCCCTCCCTACAACCCTGGCTGTGGACAGCGGCTGCTCACGCCAGGTGCCACTCCCACACACATGGCTGGGGGCCAGCTGGGTCTGAAGGTCACATGGCCAGTGCAGGTGGGGTTCCCCTCTGACAGGGCCACAGCCTCTCAGGGCGACACGCATATTCGGGACTGCAGGACCCCTCATTCTTCCAGAGCTGCAAGTCCAAACCACACTGGCCAGTGCCTCCTGCCAGGGCCTGCCCTGGTGGTGAGCTCCATTGTGTTCACACAGTTCTTCAGCAATCAGCGCGTGATGGACTTGGCCCTGGAACATGGTCCCAAGGCCTGGCTCTGGGGATCCCACCCTGCTCTGGGCCTGGCCTGGCCCTGGGTCCCTGCCATGGCTAGTGCCCCTACGAGCCACATCAGAGCACCTGTGGTCAGGAAAAATGCACCAGGCTCCGGGGACAAGGCCAAGAGTGCTGCGGGGGGTCGGGGGTGGGGTAGGGCACAGGCAGGAACCCTCGCCAGGATGAGGTAGGATTGGGTGGACACAGCACGGAGCGAGGCCCTGGGCAGCTCAGCGGCCCCTCAGAGTCTTCATCTCTTGTGCTGGGGCTGCTATGTGGCTGTGGGTCAGGCAAGGGAGGGACAAGTGCCACCCTTGGCATCTGTCTGCAGGGGCCTTTGAGTCAACTACAAGGCACAGGGGCAAGGATCTGCCTTACCCTGAGGATGAGTGTCCAGGACTCCACTGTTATTTGTAAGATTTATTTACTTATTTGAAAGTCAGAGTTCCAGAGAGGGAGAGGGGAAGAGGGAGAGGAAGGCGGTGGGGTGGGGGGGAATCCTCCATTCACTGGTTCATTCTCCAATTGGCCGCAATGGTGGGAGCTGCACCAATCTGAAGCCAGGAACCTGGAACCTCTTCTGGGTCTCCCACATTGGGTGCAGGGGCCCAAGGACTTGGGCCATCTTCTACTGCTTTCCCAGGCACATTAGCTGGATTGGAAGTGGAGCAGCCAGGACTTGAACCGGTGCCCATATGGGATGCTGGCACTGCAGGCGGCTTTACCCGCTCCCCCACAGGGCCGGCCCCAGGACTCCATTCTTGTACAATTAGCAATTTCAGTGCTGGGGATGTTGTGGCACAGCTGGCTAGGCCTCCACTTGTGACACAGCACCCTATATTGGAGTGCCAGGTTCAAGTCCTGGCTCCTCTGCTTCTTGCTTTTTTTTTTTTTTTTAAGATTTTACTTATTTGAAAGTCAGAGTTACACAGGGAAAGAAGGAGAGGCAGAGAGAGAGAGAGAGAGAGAGAGAGAGAGGTCTTCCATCCACTGGTTCACTCTCCAATTGGCTGCAAAGGCTGGAGATGCGCCGATCTGAAGCCAGGAGCCAGGAGTTTCTTCTGGGTCTCCTACATGGGTGCAGGGGCCCAAGGAATTGGTCCATCCTCTACTGCTTTCTCAGGTCACAGCAGAGAGCTGGATCGGAACTGGAGCAGCCGGGACTTGAACCGGCACCCATATGGGATGCCAGCACTGAGGCAGTGGCTTTACTCTCTAGGCCACAGCACCAGCCCCTCCTCTGCTTCTGATTCAGCTCCCTGCTAATGCTTCTGGGAGGCAGCAGGTGGCCCAAGTGCTTGAGCCCCTGCCACCCACGTGGGAGACCGGGATGGGGTTCCTGGCTCCTGGCTCTGGCCTGGCCCAGCCCATTATCAAGGCCATTTGGGAGTGAACCAGTGGATGGAAGATACCAATCCCCCCCCCCCAGTCACTCTGCCTTTCAAATAAATAAATAAACAAAAAAACTAAATGTTTATTTGTAAAACTCGATGGAGGGACCTTGGTTTCAGAGGCCAGAGTTGTGGCACAGCGATTAAGCTGCTGCCTGAGGCACCAGCATCCCATAAGAGCAATGGTTCAAGTCCTGGCTGCTCCACTTCTGGTCCAGCTCCCTGCTAATGGCCTGTGAGAGCAGTAGAGGAGGCCAGAGTGCTTGGGCTCCTGTTATCCATGTGGGAGACCCGAATGGAGTTCCAGGCTCCTGGCTTTGGCCTGGCCCAGCCCCAGTGGGCCATTTGCAGTGTGAACCAGTGGATGGAAGATCTCTGTCTCTCTATATCTGTAACTCTGCCATTCAAACATGTTTAAAAAAATTTGGGGGGGGGGCAGGGCGTAGTGGGTAAGGCCACCACCTGCAGAGCCAGCAGCCCATATGGATGCTGGTTCAAGTCCCGGCTGCTCCACTTCTAATCCAGCTCCCTGCTAATGCTCCTGGGAAAGTAGCAGAAGGCAGCCCAAGTCCTTAGATCCCTGCACCTAACCTGGGAGAGCTGGAAGAGGCTCCAGGCTCCTGGCTTTGGATCAGCTCAGCTCTTGCTATTGTAGCCATTAGGGGAGTGAACCAGTGGATGGAAGATTCTCTCTCTGAATCTGCCTCTCTGTAACTCTGCCTTTCAAATAAATAAATAAATCTTTTAAAAAAAATATGGGGGATCTCTGTTGCTATTTGTTGGTGAGGAGCTTCGGCTCACTGCTCCTCACCCACTAGGCTAAGGACTAGGACCCTGGGCTCTCGGGGCTGGGTGGGTGGGGGTGGGGCTGGACCACTATGCAAGGAGCCCAAGCCATTGTCCTCCAGGGAAGACCTGCGTGGGGAAGCTGAGGCAGCATGGCCTGCTCCTTGCTGTCTCCTAGGAAGCTTAACAGCAGCTCCCACAGGCAGCCTGGCTCTGCTCACCACGTGCCATGCGCTACGCACGCTGCCTGGGACTCTGCACTCCCCACCAGCAGGAAGCTCAGCTAATGCAGCACCGTGACCTTGGACCCCCAGTTCCAGGGCCATGAGCTGAACAAATCTTACCCAGTTTGTGGTATTCAGTTAGAGCGACAGAAGTCAGATGGAGACAGGCTGCCTCTCCCAGGAAGCCTTCCTGGGCTCGATAAGAAGGTTGGCTCCTGGGTCAGGCTGGGCCTCCCTGGCTGTGGACTCCACAGCTTTCCTTGAGTTCTTGGGGGAGAGGGCCCTGGCTGGCCATGGAATAGGCCGTGAGCATCGTGTGCCATGGCCCGGAGCTGACCTCATGACAATGCTGTTCATGGCTGCACCCGACACTTTACTTTGGCAAGACCTGTCCCTCACCCCATCACAGAAGGGGGCCCCTGACAAGCCCAATACAGAGACAGGAAGTCAGAGGGGCCCGGGGAGCACACAGCTTCCCAGGGACGTGACTGGCCCTCGACCAGGCCACTGAGGCTGTCCTGGGCGACCAGCGAGTTTGACGCCAGGCAGCCGCCCAGGGTGATGCTGACAGCATGAGTTCGGCTCTCCGTGCAGAAGACCTGGCTGGAGTGTGCGGGGAGGTGGCTCTTGCAGCACTGGCCAGGTTGGGGGTGGGTGGGCAGAGCTATGTCCCCTTGAGCTCCTAACCCTCAGGGCCTCCGTGTGACCTGGTGAGGAACAGGCTCACTGCAGGGGGTTAGTGAAGGTGAGATCACTTTTGGCTAAGCTTTTAAGCTGCCCTCATCCCATAGGGTTCTGAGTTCAAGTCCTGACTCATCCACTTCTGATGTAAATTTCTTGCTAATGGTCACCCTGGGAGGCAGCAGGTGAGGGCTCAAGTGGTTTGTCCTTGCACTCACACCTGGAGCTCCTGGCTCCCAGCTCTGGCCTGGACCCAGCCCTGGCCCTTGTGGCAGTTTGGGGAATGAGCCGGGGGATGAGGGCTCTTCCACTAGGGCATGGTGGCCCTAACCCAACGCGACCGGCGTTCCTGTAGAAATCCTGGACACAAACCCACACACCCAAAGGTCAGAGCAGAGGTCTGGAGTCGCTGCTAGCAACCAAGGACACTCAGTGACCAGCGACACCACAGCTGGAGTGAGCCTGGGACACAGCCACTGGCAGAGCGGGGAAGCAGCTGGTCCTGTGGACGCCCGTCTGCCTGGTGAGCTGCCTGGCCTGTGGAGCTTGGTGGCGGCAGCTCCGGGCAACTGGTACCCAAAGCACACTGGCCACTGTGGTCAGCGGACACTCCTGTTAGAAGGATGCCCGTGGTTGTGTTTTTAAGCTTTTCCGTATTATCGTTTCAAAATCATAAAGTGAAAAAAAAAAGCCTGACTTTAAAAATATGTGTTACAGCAGTGCTGGACAGTTTCACAGATGACGTGATGAAATTTCCATCCCCGCCAGGCACGCGCCGTTGTGCCCACGCTGGGGATGACAGAACCGCACCGAGGGCTTGGAGGGCAGCCGGCCTGGAGCCCCGGGCAGGGCTACTATATGGCCTGTGTTCTGCCCAGGCCCGGAGCTGGCCCAGGAAACACATCCCCAGGAAACACATCCCCGGATGCTGAGGACGAACAAGTTAGGAGGGAAGGTGTGGTGTGGAGCAGACGTGCACCGGGGGTGAAGTGGAGAAACTGAGGCACGTCACAGAGGCCGTGCTGGGGAGGAAAGGCAGGGCCCCGGCCACAGCAGTCATCAAATGGTCCCCAGCCACCAGCAACAGACAGGAGCTGTGGCAGACACGACTAAGGGACTTCGAGGCCCCAGGAGGAGCACCAGGCAAGGCTCAGGGGGTCCTAGGGTGGTCACCTTGCCGGTCTTCCAGGGGCTGTCACGTCCCTGTGTGCAGGGAGGCCCAGAGGGATGGATGCGTGACTGCAGCCAGGGACGACCTGCTCCCTGAGGCCTCAGTGTCCCCACACGCAGGCTGGCGGGCACAGAGGATGGGGGCCGGGCCACCCAGAAAGAAGGGCCCCCCACTGTAGACAGAGTCCAGGCCCACCTGCCGGGCAGCACAGCCTCCACTGGGCTGTGTCCACTTCTGACACACGAGGAAACCGTCACTGCCTCCTCCGACCCATGACCAGCAAAGCCAAGGCCCCACCCCAGGAGAACCGTGAGGCCTGGGTGCCAGGCGCGGGGCCGCAGTGCTCTGGCCTCTGGCTGGCCTGACCTCATCGCTCACCAGAGAAGGACACTGGCCAGCCCTGATAGGACAGGGGTCCTGCCAGCGCCCAGAGAGGGGCTTCACTGCCCAGAGCCACACAGCACAGTTCCCTCCCCACCACCAGGAACCAAGGACAGGAGGTCCCTTCGCTGGTCACACATACCTAGGAGCCATCCTGGCCACCAGCTCAGCTGTAGCATGGCCCAGAGCAGCGACCAGGGTGCCCAGGGGACCCGCATGCCCAGAGCGCTGGCCGCGCCCGCCGCCACCGTGCTCTCCTCCGCGGCTCAGGCAGGAGTGGTGGTGAAAGGAAACCGTCCCAGGTTGGAGGAAGGGGACCTGCCCCGGGTCCCGCCCCTTCTTCCTCCACCTCCACAAGAGTGACAGGGCTGGGGCGGGGGCTGTGGCGTAGTGGGTAAAGCCACCTCCTGCAGTGCTGCCATCCCATATGGGCACCGGTTCAAATCCTGGCTGCTTCACTTCCAATCCAGCTCTCTGCTATGGCCTGGGACAAAGTGGAAGATGGTCCAAGTGCTTGGGCCCCTGCACCTGTATGGGAGGCCCAGAAGAAGCTCCTGGCTTCTGGCTTCAGATTGGCACAGCTCCAGCCATCGTGGCCAATTGGGGAGTGAATCAGAGGATGGAAGACCTCTCTCTGTCTCTCTCTCTGCCTCTGCTTTTGTAACTCTGCCTTTCAATTAAATAAATCTTAAAAAAAAAAAAAAAAAAAAGAGTTACAGGGTGTGGAGCACCAGAGATGAGGAGGGAGGGAAGGTGGGGGAGGGAAAGAAGCCAGGGAGATAAGTGGGCCCAGCTGCCCGACCCCTCTGTGTGTGTGTGCACCCCTGTGTGTGCACCCATGTCCAGCTCAGACCCCTCCCCAGGGAGTTCGTGTCTCTGTCTCTTGCCTGTGGTTTCTCAGGTTTCCCACTTGAGTTGCTGAGGATGGGGGATGGGAAGGGTTTCTTGTTGGGTTCAGTTTGGGGGTTGAGGGTGGGGATCTAGAGTCGGGGTGGGCTCAATCCCTCTCCCATCCTGAATCCCACAGCTGGGGGCTGGTTCAGGATGGGCCTATACCACCCCCACAGCCACCAGTCAGGGGGAGGCACGTGGGCAGCCCCTGGCACGGCCTCACCGCCCCCTGCCGGTCCCCTCCCCTTCCTGGCGGCGGGGGTCCGGGGCGCGGGGCCGAGCCCCCGTCTCCCCTGAGTGGAAAACAGGAAAACTGAAACTGCTGATATTAGTGATGGCAGGCGGGGCGCCGCACCCCGTGGCCCCTGAGACGCAGCTGGAAACCGGCAGCGGCCGCCGGGCGGGCGCGAAGGGAAAAGATTAAAGCGCGCGGAGCACGGTGGAAAAAGCGCATCAAAGGCGGCGCAGCGAGGAGGCGGCGGCCGAGGCGCAGGCGCTCCCCATCCCCCAGCGCGCCCGCCGCCCCGGGCTCGGCCGCGGGGTCCGGGGGCGGCCGGGAGATGCGTGGGCCTCGCTTGGGGCTGGCGGCTGTGCGGCCCGCGGGTCCCTCCTGGCTGTCCCGGCCTCAGGTGTGGACTCCCTGCCCCCTGCTCCTGACGCCGGAGCTGCCGGTGCGAGGACCGGGCGCCTTCGGTTCCGAGCTGGGGCCCAGCGCAGCCACCGCTGGAGGACCAAATACGGGAGTTGGTGCCTGGCCAGATGTCCCTGTCCAAGACGGCTCAGGTCCCCAGAGCTGTCCCTCCACTTCCTACAGTGTCCTGCTCCCCTCCCCCCTCCCCTGTTCCCTCTCCCTGCTCCCCCTCCCCTCTCCCCCCACCGCGCGCCCCCTGCCAGTGTCCCTGTTCCTTTTCTCAGGAGTTAACCTGAAGGGCACAAGAGCCACGTGGGCCTTGCCTTTCTCTGGTGTCCACTCTGAGATCCACACCCGCCTCCCTGCAGGTGCACCTACTGCACAGTGCACAGTGGCAGCTGGGGGGGGGGGGTCAGCCAGGGATGGGAGATGCTGGACCCTTTCTGCCCTCCCAGCCCCCTCTCCTCCCTCTTCCCTGCCCCTGCTGGAGGCTCCTGGCAGTGGGGGAAGCAGTTCTGGAGTGGACTCAGCATGGAGCTAGGCTGGGGCTGGGACAGGGCAGAGACATGGTGGTCTCTGGGGCTAATGAGGGCAGGCGGGTTTGGGAGGGTGAGCCTGTGGGAAGCAGGGCAGGGAGGGGGTGAGCAGGGCCCCCGAGTCCAGAGCAGGAGGCAGGAATAGCAGGTTCCAGGGCTCAGGCCTGAGGCAGGGCTGCACCCCATCCTCTCATCCAGACCCCTGAGCAGCGCAGGTACACACTGCTGCCTGCTCACGCAGTCCCCAGCACAGTCACGCCATCTCCTGCATGGCTGCCGATTCCCACGCCAGACACAATCCCCACCAGGCTCCTGGTCCCCAGTGTGCGCGGAGCCCTGCCTCCCTGCAGCAGCCCCACCGCTCCTGGTCCTGGGAGGGATGAGGGCCTCCCTGCCCCTCCCTGCCTCTGGGGGAGACCTCAGGAGCCCCAGAGGCAGACTCTGACCTCCACTTGCCACTGCTTTCTGCCCTGCCCCGCTCTTGCTAGGAGCACACCCCTTCCACACACCTGGGCCTGGGCCTGGGCAGCCATGTGCAATCCAGGGTCTGAGAGGGAACCTGCTAGAAGCAGGAGGGAGGCGTGTTCCGACCGTGGGGTGACTGGGAACTGTGAGGTCACAGTGGGGCTGCTGCAGTGGAACATTGCTCCCGGCCGTCCCCGCAGTTTGCTCAGCCCTGGTCTGAGCTAGCTTTACACAACTGAGGGACAGCACACGGGGGGCTCCCAGGTGTATGTGAGCACCGAGGGTCCTGCTGCCATCCCAGGGCTTCGTCTCCCTGCTGTGCAGATTCGGGGTGCCCCGTGTGCATCCCTCCATGGCTGTGCCCCCGCAGAGGCACTGAGTCCACAGTGGGGCCCCGTTACTTAGCCACGCCCTGCAGCCCCTCTGGGAGGGTGCCAGTGCCTGATGGTTGTGAGCTGGCTGCTAGGAGTGTGAACAGCCGTGTTTGCTCTGGGTTCCCCTGGGTAAGCCTGGGACCCCTCTGTCCTGCCGACCACAGAGGAGCCACTCGGCTCAGCCATTCGGGGCTGGAAGTGGCCAGGAGGCCGGGGCTCCTCCCTGGAATGTGAGAAGAGGATCTCTGTGAGCTGCAGGATGTGACCCGGACACTGCTCACAGGGGGAAGGTGGGGGAGGGGCTCTCCCTGCTCCCAGCCGGGTTTCCTCCAATGCGGCAGGTGGCCCGTGGCGCCTTGGCCCAGGCAGCCTGAGTCACAGCTGGCTCCTGGGTTGGGACAGGAAACGGTTAATAGTGTCTGCAAATAAAAACTTTCTGTTCTATCTTGGTTTTGAAACATTTCCCAGAAGTGAGAAAAGAGAGCCTCATTTATCTGCCCAATTTAAGAGCTAACTTGAAACAAATTTCATGAGCTATTTCCAATTTACTACACACGGGTACACAGACAGTTTTATCCCTCCCACTATTTTTTTCTAAACTTTCTAGAATGTAATTAGTTTCTTTTTTTTTTTTTTTAAAGAGTTATTTGAAAGGCAAACAGAAAGAAAATCTTCCATCCTGTGGTTCCCTCCTCCAATGGCCACAGCGACTTCAAGAGGAAGCCAGGAGCTCCGTCCGGGTCGCCCCTATGGGAGACAGGGGCCAAGCACTCTGGCCATCTGCGGCTGTCCCAGGGAGCTGGATCGGAAGCAGAACAGCTGGGATTGAACTGGGCCCACATGGGACGCTGGTGTTGCGGCTGAGGCCTCTGTCTTTAATCAGACTTGTTTCTGACTGACGTGGTTGAAGCTGTCGTGGGGGCCTCCCAAGGTCAGACAGAGGTGTCCGTCCTGGGCATGAAACATGGCTGTGTTCTGCTGCCTGTGCTCCAGCTGTGCCCTCTCTGCTCGGATGCAACCGTCTCAGGCCCTGCTTGTGGGCTCAGTGCGTGTGTGAAAATACCTATCGTGTATCCATCCTGTGGCCGCCATGTAAGGTTAGAACTCCCAGTCCCTGGAAGGGAGACAAGGAGGCTAAAACCATATGTAAAGGAAAACCCTTCTTTGTTCGGGGCTCAGGATTTTGGTAAGAAATTCCACCTGGGCCTTCTGCCGGCATAGACTACTTCCTGTTAGGGGCCTTGGTGTCTCCTCTCGGGACACAAATCCTGCTACGGTGCCACAGAGGGCAGCTTCACCCACTGTGCCTGAACGCCAGACCCTGCCTTTCACCTGTGCAAATTCCCAGTGTGTGTTTGTGTATGCGTAGGTGTGTATGTGCCCGTGCAGCTGTGTAGTCTGTGTACTGTGCTGTATGTTTTTGTATGTACTATGCACATGTGTGTGTTGTACATTTGTATGTGTAGGTGTGTAGTCTGTACTGTGCTGTATGTTTTTACACGAACCATGCAAGTGTGGTGTATGTTAATGCATGTGTAGGTATGTATGCACACGCATACATGTGCATTCTTGTACTGTGCTGTATTTCATATGTACTGTGCGTGTTGTGTGAGTGTGTGTACATGTGTAGGTGTGTAGTCTGTACTGTGCTGTATGTTTTTATATGTACTGTGCACATGTGTGTGTTGTACATTTGTGTGTGTAGGTGTGTATGTGCACACATAGATGTGTAGTTTGTGTACTGTGTTGTGTGTATATTTTATATGTATTGTGTATTTTATATGTGTATGTGTTTCTGTGTGTAGTGCGTGACTTGCACATATGTGAGTTCATGTGTATTATGTGTAGTGTGTATTTTGTGTGCATGTATGGGAGGGGGCGGTTCCTTTCTCATCTGAACAGAAACCCGGAAGTGGAGTGCTGACAAAGGACCCCCCCATTCCTGCCACGGTCTCTATGCCCTGGTCACCTCGTGGTCCACAAGGGCTGCTGGAGCACCGACCATCATCTCTACGTTGATAAACAGAAGAATGTGAAAGTGGAGTGAGAAGAGTAGGCCCTGCCCGGCAGCCCTGTGTCAAGGATGTTTCCCAGAAGCACGTCCCGTAGTTCCTCCTCTGTCTGTCACAGAAAGACAGCACGTATCTGAAAGTCAGAGCACGTTCAGATATGCAAAATAAAGCAGCACGCTCTTTTCAGGATCAGCGGCGAGCTGGAGAAGGGAGAGAACTGGTGAGCCGGCGGAGGAGTGAGAGGCCGCTCAGTGTCCAGGGCAGAGGCAGGAGAGAAGCCCAGGGCAGCCAAGAGCCCAGCAGGTGCCTGTGTGCAGGAGAGCACCTGCCGTCCTCTGGTTCAGGAAGAGCGGGTGGCTGCCAGCCCCGGAGGCCCGAAGCTGGGCTGGCACTGTGGTGCTGTCACCTCACCCGACTGCTGGTTCCAGTCCTGGCTGCTCCACTGCTAGTGCACCTGAGAGAGCGGCAGGGGATGGCTTGAATTTTTGGGCCACTGCACCCATGTGGGAGACTCGGTTGGGTTTCAGGCTTCTGGCTTCCGTCTGGCCCAACCCCAGCCATTGCAGCCATCTAGGGAATGAACCAGCAGGAGGAAGATCTCTCCCTGCCCCCCAGCCCGTCTTTCAAATAAACAAAATAAAAATAATTTAAAAACAAGAAAACAAAACCAGAAGGACCAAGCACCCTGCCCACAAGTAGAGGACAGATGGGTAGCCAGCCAGGTGCAGACGGGGCAGGGCGGAGTGAGCTGAGTGACCACGTGTGGCATGGAAAGGGCACATCCCCAAGACCTTGGACGGTCGTCTGCAGGCCCTGCACCTGCAGCTGGGCCCAGAGAGCTGGGCAGGTGGGCTGTGCAGCTGTGAGCAGGGCAAAGTGAGCTGAGCGACCACGTGTGGCATGGGAGAGGCACTGAGCCCGTCCAGGGGCATGTCCCTGAGACCTGGGACATCATCTGCAGGCCCCCAGAGAGCTGGGCAGGCGTGAGCAGGGCAGCCCGCCCCAGTGACTGGAAGGGACAGCTTCCAGGGGCCCACAGAGGCTACAAGGCTCTGGTTCCATGTGTGTGGGGTGTCTCCCGGGGGTCCCCTGAAATGGCCCTTGGGGGTGTCTATTCTTGTCAGCATGAGCTTCTCCAGCAGCCAGAGCAGCTGCCCACAAGCTCCTCTCCATGGTGGCTGCCCTGAGCCAGGTGCCCATGCTCAGGGCTCCTGGGGCCACCTCTGCACCCCAGCCTCAACATGGCCCTCGTCCTGGAGAAGCTGCCCAGCCACGGTCACCAGAGGCCGCCTCGGCTTGAGTCCTTCACTGACAGCTGTGGGTTGGCCGTGCGTGCAGCCCTGCCATCCTGGACGGCCAAGGCTGGCCTGCTTTCTGCACTAGCTTTCTCTCGCTGTTCCCTGAGTCTTGGGAGGGAGGGAGAAGCCAGACATGCTGTTTCCGCAAGCTGTGAGCAGGGCTGCTGAGGCTGCGGCTCAGGCCGTGCAGCCACAAGCGGGGCTCGGCCTGGCTGGGGGCAGCGCAGTGGTGGAGGGGCCTGAGGCTGGCGGCAGCAGGGACAGCTGCGGGCTGGTTCTTTGCCTGGGAGGTGTGAGGCTGGCATGTATGTTCTAGGCATTTTTATGTCGGTGTCTTAGAATTTAGTGCCATGCTGTTCCAGTTCAGGGTTGGCAGTCCGCTGGAAAATACCAGACCCTTGGAGAGACGCTCACGGGACACTGCTCACGCGTCGTGCAGGGAAGAGAGCAGCTGCAGGCGATGCATGCGTGTCACATGATCTCTGGTCTGTGACAGTGGCTGTGCAAGCATACACGCCCATGTACACGGCAGCCACACAGACATCAGCACACCCAGCTCGTCGCGACCGTGACCTCTGGGTGCTGGGGTCACAGGCGATTTCATTGTATTTTTCCTCTCTGCTTCCATGTCTCTGAGACAAACCGGTTGCCACGGAGACCGTGCTGTTGTCAAGGCAGCTGATTGGCCAGCGCGGGACCGAGGCTTCCTGGGAGCCCCTGAACGAGTGCGGCTGTCAGCCCGCAGTGCAGACACGCGCAGCATGGACGCGGCTGGGGCGGACGTGTGGGTGAGCACCTTCGCCCAGCTGATGAGCGAGAGGAAGCCCCGAGACGCCTGGGTCCTGCTCCCCCAGGAGAGCCTGGCCGCGGGGCCCCTGGACGGCAGCAGCTTCCAGTATCGGCTGAAGGGGCTTTCAAGGTGCGGCCAAGGGCAGGCGGGGGGGAGCCCCCTGTGGGTGAGGGGAGGCTGAAGGCGCCTTTCTAGGCTCTGAGACCGGGCCCGAGTGGCCCTGGAGTGGGTGCTGTGGGGCTGGCAGCGGGCATCCACCCCGCCTGGACTTGTCCCCCATCAGGTGGGTGGGGCCGGGCGGTGCCAGAGCTGAGACCCGACAGTGCTGACATCATGGCTGCCAGGGGGGTGGGCGCTCCCCTGGCCTGCGCTGTTCCCGTGGTGTTGCCATGGTGTCCAGGCAGGGCCTGGAATGCGCAGGTGCGGTGCTCAGGCCTGAGCAACCAGCCAGCCGGGCAGTCCTGCTTGGGGAGGCTGTGGCAGAGGGTCCCCAGGGAGCCTCATACTTCATCACCACCATGAACCTCCCCAGCGTGCATCCCTGGCTCATGGCGCCAGCCAGGGGGCAGCTCTAGCAGCTCCGTCGGCCCCTCGGCATGCTGACCGGTTGTCCTGCTCTCTGCCTCTGACCACATAGCTCCCGAGCACCGGATCTGGGGGCCAGTGTGTGGTGGAGCCCTGGCTCTTCCAGGTGCTGGGTCTGAGAAGACCGAGAAGCCCCTGCCTGGCCCCACAGCCAAGTGCTGCCATGTAGCGCATGCAGGTGGCTCTGGTCACCCAGACGACGGGGACCACGACACCCATGTCTCCAGCCAGGGCCACCAGGCACCTGTGGCTTCTGATCGCTAATCAGACTTAAGCAGAGTTAGAAGTTCAGCTCCACGTCCATGCGCTCTGTAGGCTCCTCGGCCGCGCAGGGTCTAAAGCAGTTCCATCGTCTGGAAAGTCCCATGGGCAGCGCAAAGACAGGGTCACTGAGGGCAGCAATGAGTGGCCCTTCATCTGCCCCCCCGCCCCGTCTTTTTAAAAAGTTTACTCATTTTTATTTAGATGAAGGGCAGACTGATGGGGGTGGGGAGAGACAGAACTTCTCCCATCCAATGGTTCAGCCTTCGAACGGCCACAACAGCCAGGGCTAGCCAGGCTGAACTCCATCCGGGTCTCCCACGTGGGTGGCAAGGGAAGCCAGCACCTTCGTCACCGAGGTCCATTGGCAGGAAGCTGAATCGGAAGCAGAGGCGGAGATTCCAGGTGCTCCGATACGGGATGTGGGTGTCTCAGGTAGTGGCTTAATCTGCCCACCCCAACCCAAGGACCTTGGAGGAGAGTCCATCCTGGGGGCCAGGAGCTGGGCGCTTCTTTCAGCCAGGGGTGTGGTGCCCAACTCTCCAGCTCACATATGAGGTGCACTGTTCAGAATCCAGGGGGCTTGTCCAGGGTCCCCCGAGCCTGCACTTAGCTGCAGGGGGCATCCCTCACACCAGCACCCCCTTAAATTTCCCAAATTTCTCATCACCTGGCCAGGCCCAGCCGGGAGGCCCTGAGTCGGCTCCCCCTCCTGCCCTGGCACTCAGGGAGTCCACACTGCAGACAGCAGAATGTGGGGGCGCGTGGCTCCCAGGCCTCCGGCCGGGGTGCACCCTGGTGCTGCCCTGCTGTGCGCGTGTCTGCGTCTCAGGTCTTCAAGCTGCAGGGCCTGGCCCAGAGCGAGGCAGCTCCGAGCGCTGCGGCTGCGCCGGCCGGCACCCGGCTGTTCCCGGGCTGGAGCTGCGTCCTGCCCGGCCGCGGCTCACGGCCCTCTCTCCCCGCAGGCTCCAGTGCAGCCGCTGCCTGTGGGTCTGGCGCTCGGCGCACGTGCACATCCTCTTCCACCTGTGGTGGGACGCGGGCAGCCGCCAGGGGCTGGTCAAGATGCGCGTGTGGGGCCAGCGGTGCCGGATGTGCCCCCCGGGGCCGCCGGGCCCCCGCGGCGACTGCCAGGTGAGCCCCCTCAACGTGTGGATCTTCCTCAGCAAGCTGGTGCTGCACATCCTGAGGCGGTGCTACGGCGACCACCTCAGCCAGTGCCCCGAGGTCCGCTTCGGCGACCGCTGCGAGGCCTGTGAGCTGCAGCTCTGCTTCCTGCAGACGGCGCCCGAGCTGGCCTGGGGGCCGGCGGCCAGGGCCGGGCACGCGGCCGGCTGCTGCGCCGGCGGCCACGACCCCGGCGGCCTCGCCGAGACCGACTTCCTCGACGGCGCCGCGGCGGACGGCGGCGAGTGCCCGCACGAGGGCGCCCGCGTCGTCTCGCTGCCCTTCTCCCTGGTGGACGGCGGCCGGCCCGCGGCCGGCGAGCGCCCGGCTGCCCTTGGCAGGGGCACCCTGCGCCTGTTCGGGCCCGGCGGCGCGGCGCCCGAGGGCGGCGGCATCCCCGTGGACGTCGGGGACCCGGTCTTCCACGCCGAGGGCCTGTGCCTCGGCGACGTCGAGCCCACCTTCGAGCTGCGCGGCTTCGTCTTCGGCGGCCACGGCGGCGCGCCCCGCCCCGTGGGCGTGGCCAAGGGCCAGGGCCCGCTGTCGCTCAGCGCGGGGCTGGCGGCTGCCGGGGCCCCGCTGCCGGCGGTGTCCTACGTGGTCGGGCTCTCGGCCGACGGCGAGGGCGCGGTCACCTTCCCGCTGTCGGCGTTGGGCGTGCTGGGCACGGCGCCCCCCGGCGAGGCGTGCTACGTCACCTTCCCCTTCAGCTTCGCCGCGGGCGCCGGGAAGGAAGACGGAGGCGCCCCGACGACGCTGGGCAGCGAGGCGCGCAGCCCTGTGGCGGTCAGCAGCGGCTCCATCGCCATCCCCGTGTCGGCCCTGGAGGTGGTGCAGCGCCAGGGCCCCGAGCACGCGGCCGGCGGTCCGCACAGCGGCGGCCTCGCGGCCTACAGCTACTGCCGGCGGCGGCACCGGGCCAGGCCGGGCCAGCCGGGCTGTGGGCCCCACGCCGAGGACGAGCCGCACGCCTGCAGCGTGCACCGCCGGCCCCGCGCAGAGCCGTCCGAGGACTTCTGGATCTGGGTGTCCATGACCGTCTGCATCTTCTGGCTCATGTGCATGTGCAGACTCAACTTCAGCATCTTCCAGCAGCCGGCCTAGGGTACGGCCGCGCCCCGAGCCGCCCCGGCCGCCCCGAGCCGCCCCGGCCGCCCCGGCCGCCCCGGCCGCCCCGGCCGGCCCCGCCTCCGGGCCCCCGCCTCGATGTGCGTGCCGGTTTTGTGTGTGTTCGTCCTGTTTCTGGTCCTGTACACGTGTGTTTCCGGTGCTTTTCTCTCTGTATGTAGAAGTACAATAAAACGAAGTGGATCCCACCGCCTGCCCTCGGGGAGAGAAGGGACAGAACTGGAGGTCCCCCTGCGGAGGGTCCAGGTGGGGCGGCAGAGGCTGTCCCCCACCTCTCCCGCAGGAAGGACCTACCGCACGGCGGCTGGTGTGAGTGGCTGCGGACCCCTGAGGTGCTCCCGTCGCTCATGCAGGGTGGAAGCCTGGTGACACCCGTGGGAATGTGGGGCACTTGGGGAATGTCACCTCAGGAGGCACTGTCCAGTGCACAGGTCCCTGGCAACTGAACTTTGGATTTTCGTAGTAGAAGGCCCCAGCTTCCATTCCCAAAGGGAGGGGTCGCAGGGTGGCCCAGGCAGCAGGGGCTGTGTCCAGCTGTGCCCAGCCACCCAGCCCCTGGGGTCTGCCAGGGGGCTACAGAAGCCGGCCTCTCCCAGGGCCCTGAGTTGGGGGCCAGTGTGGCTCTCAGAAGGTTCTTCCTGTGGGGCTGCCCTGGAGGCAGGACTGGCGCAGTGCAGGTGAGGGAGGAGGTTCAAGACAGCAGCCCAGGAATCCCACTGGTCTGTGGGCACCGAGAGATGGCAGAGGCTGCAGAAGGTTCTGCCCCTTGGGCCAGGCATAGCACGGACAGTCAGCCTGCAGACCACTGCTAGTCTGACTGTGACCTGGGCCGTGGTGACCCAGGAAGGAACCTCCAGTTCCATGGCTGCTCCCTGGCTCAAAGGCCCTTGTCCTGGGTCAGGGATAGGGTTTAGGGTTTGGGTTAGGGTACCTGCCCCAAGCTACCGGCATTGCCCCTCCCCTACTGTAATAGCACCCCTCTTGTCACCACCCAACCGTGTCCTGGAGGGTGAGGCCTCATCAGAGCACCCAATGCCCACCCCTGGGACAGCAAGTCCCTGTCTCATCCCCTGCCTTTCTCATCAGCATCCAGGCCTGCCCTGGCTTGTGGCAATGCTGAGGCCAAGAGGCTGGGTTCTGGGGCCGTGGGTGGGCAGTGGGTATGAGAGGTCATTTCTGTTTCCACCCGCAGATCGACTTCAGGAGGCGGAGCCAGGAGGCCCCTGGCTCCCATCAGATGGGGTCCCAGAGTGTCCATCCCCACCCCCTGCTCTCTTACGATGGGATCCCTGAGTTCCTGGCCCCACCCCCAGCTCCAGTCACATGGGGTCCCTCTGAGGGGCCAGAGAGGGTGGGAAGCCCCTCTCCTCTCACTCCTGTGGCCCCCAGGGCTTCATGAGTCCACCTCTGCAGCCCAGAGACCCTGCCTGAGGGCCCACTATCCCCTGCTCCCCAGCAGTGACTTTCAGGGGCACAGAGGCATGGGAGCGACAGTGAGAAGGAGTCCCTGCAGAGGCCTGGAGTGAGAGCAGGAGGGAGAGAAGACGAGAGAGGCTCTCAGTGGCCGCTGCTGGAACCGGTCACCGAGCCAGCGCCCTTCCAGAAGCACGAAGTGGAGTCCACAGCCGGTGCTGGACGTGAGGCTGGGTGAGGTGAGGGGCCATCCTGTGGTCACATTCTGGGGAGCGTTTGCCCCCCACTGACACCAGGGCCAGCTCCATCTCCTCCACTGCCCCGGGAGCCACAGCCTCAGATGCATCCTTAACACAGGCGGGGCGTGGACAGCCTGCCTGCTGTTTCTCCAGGAAGCCAGGGCTTGGAAGTCAGATCCCTGACCCCTCATCCTGGACACCCTTGGGTCAGCCTGCTGCAGCAGCCCCAGAGGCCTCTGTTCTGCCAGAGCTGTGAGCCAGGCACGGGGCGGGGCGGTAGCGTGTGCAGCGACATTTTCATCACCAGGCCACGGTGCTGCAGGAGGGCTCGCGCCTCTCCCAGGCGAGGGGCCCACAGAGTCTCCAGCAGGGCTGCTGTGTGTGGCCGGTTCTCCCCACAATGGGGAGACTCGACCTTGACTCAACCTTGACCTCAGAAGTGAGCTCAGCCTGCACAGGACCCACGTGGTTGTCCCTGGCAGCAGGAGACAGTGACAAGGGAACCATAAACACGACAGGCACTGCTTAGGCTGAGCAGGGATGGCTGAGTGGAGGGAGGGCATTAAAGGACGGCCATGGGGGCTATGGGGCCGGGGGGTTGAGCCGCTCCTGTGGTGCTGCCTTCCCATGTGGGCGCTGGTTCAAGTCTTGGCTGCTCCACTTCCAATCCAGCTCCCTGCTAATGTGCAGAGATTAGAAGCATGGTGTGGGGGCTGGTGCTGTGGCGCAGCAGGTTAACGCTCTGGCCTGAAGTGCCGGCATCCCATATGGGCGCCGGTTCTAGTCCCGGCTGCTCCACTTCCAATCCAGCTCTCTGCTGTGGCCTGGGAAAGCAGTAGAAGATGGCCCAAGTCCTTGGGCCCCTGCACCCACATGGGAGACCTGGAGAAAGCTCTTGGCTCCTGGCTTTGGATAGGCACAGTTCTGGCTGTTGTGGCATCTGGGGAGTGAACCAGCAGATGGAAGACCTCTCTCTTTCTTTCTCTCTCTGCCTCTCCTCTCTTGGTGTAACTGACTTTCAAATAGGTAAATAAATCTTTTTTTTTTTTTTTAAAGAAGCACGGTGTGGTTCCCGCCCTCAGTGGGTAGAGCCACTTGATGGTACAGTCCCGGGCTAATGACCAGTGCTGGTCCTGGAGGCTGTGAGAGAGAGGTGTCAACTTCCAGCGATGAGTGTGAGATTGTGTTTCCCACCGAAGTTCTGTCAGCTTGTACTGCTCCCACGCCAAGCACAAGTCGAGCAGATGCAGGCAGAGTGTGGGGCGGGGGAGTGTCAGGGTGACTGGTGCACCTGCCTTGTGGCCATGGTTTGTGGGATGGGGAGGGTCTCTTCTCCAAGGAGGGAGGAGGCGTGGTCTGTTTCTGTTTCCTTTTGTCCCCAAGTGGCTTTCCCTCCAGGGCTGGCTCTCATTCCTGGGGCCGGTGCCGCACACGTGGCCTCTCCCTTTGCTGACCTTGGTGCAGATTTCCGGGCAGCCCTGGCCCAGGCCTCTGTCTCTGCCTGCCTCAAGGAGGCCTTCCTTCCTCCTGGGCTCGTCTCCATGGCAGGATGGCTGGATGGGGGCATCACCAGGCAGGAAGCCGCGGGCACGGCTCAGTCCCCTCTGTCCGAATATCTGCCAGGTCATCCCGTATCTGTCTGTTTCCATAGCCGTTTGCAGTGGGAGAGCAGGACCAGCAGCCTCCTGCCATCCCCACAGCCCAGGGCACTCCAGTGGGCAGCAGGGGCGTGGCACACCTGCCCCTGGTGCTGTGACTGGGGAAGCCGGAGCTCACCAGAGCAGTGACAGCAGGGAAACGGGCCACAGTGCATGCAGCGTGTGCACCCCAGCAAATCAAGCTGAGCGGCAGCCCCTGGGGAGGGAGGGCTGTGAGCACCAGGGGCTGCTGCACCTGCTGAGGGGCCTCACCGAGCCCCTCCTGGCCGGGTCTCAGGCGGCCGTTCTGAGTCGTCTTTCACAGCTGCAGCTGAGCTGTCAGTGGGCGTAGACTGGGGCTGTTTAATGGACAGACGTTCAGAGAGGTCAGAGAGACCCAGGGCGGACAATGGAAAGGACCCTTCCCTGCCGAGCTGTGACAAGCACTGCCCACCAGTGACCCCTGTCCCAAATGCCCTGCAAGGGGCCTGACGTCAGGTCATTGTTGTGGAGACATTGGATTCTTGGCTTCCCACCCCACTGACCTGGCTGACCTGGACTGGAGCGGCCATGGGTCTGCACGCCCACTCTCTACAGGGGCAACCCTGGCTCTGTGCATCCACTCTGGACCGGGGCGGCCCTGGCTCTGTGTGTCCACCAGGAGGCCTTCATACCCCGTGCCTGCGTGCTGCCTGTGACCACTCCACAGCACTGGGGTGGCCCTGAGGGAGCTCCAGGGACAGCAGAGCTGTGGTCTGCAGCCGCATCCCAGGAGGAGCCCTGTGTCTCCTCAAGGGCGCCTAAGGGACAGGCGCCCCCCCCCGCCCCGGGCTCCGGAACCACAGAGCCCCGCTTAGGCTCCGTGGGTGCATGGGGAGCTCCAGGCCTGGCCTCCGTTCTAGCATCCTGGGCCTCAGCGGACCTCCTCGGAGCAGCGCTGGTGCGGGAGGAGAGGCGGGGCCGGCGCGTGGCGTCAGGCTCAGCGCGGGTCTGGCGCAATGGGAGGGCGGCAAACCTGGACCTGCTCTGGGCCTCAGCTGGGGATGGCCGCGGGCTCCGCGTCCCCTGCGCCGCACCAGCGCCACCGTGTGTGTGCTTTCAGAACTACGCCTCTGCGTCCAGGGCCGACATTGCAGCGGGAGCCTGCGGGGGGCCTCCCCTCTGCGTCCAAGCGGTCACCTCCCCGGGCTGCGCCCGCACCCACGTGTCTGGCGTTTCTGAAGCAGCCGTGCACAGGACCCTCTCAGAGCTCTCGCATCGCCACAGGAAGCGGTGCACACACATGGCAGGTGCCCCAGGAAGGTGCACCCTCGACAGTGCACACGGAGGTACGTCCTGGCCCATGCCCATCCATGCAGACGCCCACCCACACCCACGGCATATGCAATGCAGCAGAACTAGTCCTCGTGCCCGCGTGATGCCAGGTTGCAGGGGAACTCGAGTCCACATGGCTGTTTGGATCCCACCTATGGCTGGTTTCTGTCCTCCAGCCTGGGGGAAGCAGTGAGGGCAATGCTGGGAGCCTTATACCTGTGAGCCTGCTGGTCGAGGCCCACCCTGCGTGCCCCGTGTGAGGCTCAGCGTGGCCTGCAGTGACCACAGAAGGCTGGCAGGACTCATACATGGCCACAGTGGCCAGTCCCTGTCCTGGCTTTCTGTCTGCTCCCCAGCCTCCCCTGCCTCTGTGTGAAGTCAGCTCAAGTGGGCTCCTTTCGGTACCGTCTAGGTTGGCTGGGGACACAGGGTTTGCTCCCCACGCGTCTCAGTCCACACGTGGAGACCAAGGTGCCTGCAGGGGCCTGGGTACTTCTGGGGGCTTCGAGGGAGGGTCTGCCTGCAGTCTCTCCATGGACAGTGGGCTTGGTGACCTGAGGCTTATAAAACTCATCACTCAGATCACTGCTTCTTCCTGCAGCTCCCCACGGGGAGTCCTCCTGTGCCCACGTCCCCCCTCCCATGTCCCCACTCTCCATGTCCTCCACGTGGCATGGTCTGAGTCAGACCCTCTGGCCATCCTTCCACTTCTACACCTGTGCGTCCTTCCCAAATCCGTGATCTTCACATCTGAAGGCTCTGGGGCCAGGCAGCTCCTCCTGTGCCTGTCTTGGCAGAAACCTAGTGGGAGCCCAGCCTAGGCCCCTCCCGCCCCCATGTCTGCTGGGGTCCCCTCCTGTCTCCCATGTCTGCTGAGGTCCGAGCCCAGTGGCGCCCCCTCCAGTCCCTGTGTCTGCCGAGGTGAACTCTGGTTTTCCTGGCAGAAGCTTGATGACAGGTGGCAAGGCCCCCTGGGATGCGCTGTCCAGCGTGTCTGGAATTGGGGACGTCTGAGCCCTAGGACGGGTCTGGATACGGGGCGACTGCCCTCGTCCCTTCTTTTACAGGTGGGGTGCAAGTGTGCAGGGAGGCCCAGTCCTGGTAGTCCCAGGCTGCCTTCCCGGCCCTGGCCCACTACGAAATGTAACTCCGGACCTCAGAATTATATGGAAACACCCGCTGTGCTGAATATGTCAAAATTTGGTAGGAGTGTGTATGTGTGTGTGTGGGGGTTCTCTCCCTGTCTGTGAGGTCCTCTCCTCGTGTGTGGGGTTCTCTCCCTGTATGTGTGGGGTCCTCTCCCATGTGTGGGTTCTCTCCCTGTATGTGTGGGGTCCTCTCCCTCTGTGTATGGAGTCATCTTCCTGTGTATAGGGTCCTCTCCCCATGGGTCTGTGAGGTCCTCTCCTCGTGTGTGGGGTCCTCTCCCGTGTGTGTGTGGGGTTCTCTCCCTGTGTATAGGGTCCTCTCCCCATGTGTGGGGTCCTCTCCCATGTGTGTGTGGGGTCCTCTCCTGTGGGTGGGATCCTCTCCCGTGTGTGTGGGGGGTTCTCTCCCTGTATGTGTGGGGGCCTCTCCCTCTGTGTGTGGAGTCATCTCCCTGTGTATAGGGTCCTCTCCCCATGTGTGGGGTCCTCTCCTGTGTGTGTGTGGGGTTCTCTCCCTGTATGTGTGGGGTCCTCTCCCGTGTGTGGGGTCCTCTCCTGTGGGTGGGGTCCTCTCCCGTGTGTGGGTTCTCTCCCTGTATGTGTGGGGTCCTCTCCCTGTATGTGTGGGGTCCTCTCCTGTGGATGGGGTCCTCTCCTGTGGATGGAGTCCTCTCCTGTGTGTGTGTGGGGTTCTCTCCCTGTATATGTGGGGTCCTCTCCCGTGTGTGGGGTCCTCTCCTGTGGGTGGGGTCTTCTCCCGTGTATGTGTGGGGTTCTCTCCCTGTATGTGTGGGGTCCTTTCCCCATGTGTGGGGTCCTCTCCCGTGTGTGTGTGGGTTCTCTCCCTGTATGTGTGGGGTCCTCTCCCGTGTGTGGGGTCCTCTCCTGTGGGTGGGATCCTCTCCCGTGTGTGTGCGGGTTCTCTCCCTGTATATGTGGGGTCCTCTCCTGTGGGTGGGGGGATCCTCTCCCCATGTGTGTGTGGGGTCCTCTCCCGTGTGGGTGGGGGGATCTGCTCCCCATGTGTGGGTGGGGTACTCTCCTATGTGTGGGGTCCTCTCCCGTGTGTGGGGTCCTCTCCCGTGTGGGTGGGGGGGATCTGCTCCCCATGTGTGGGTGGGGTACTCTCCCGTGTGTGGGGTCCTCTCCTGTGGGTGGGGTCCTCTCCTGTGTGTGTGTGGGTTCTCTCCCTGTATGTGTGGGGTCCTCTCCTGTGTGTGGGGTCCTCTCCCCATGTGTGTGTGGGGTCCTCTCCTGTGGATGGGTCCTCTCCCGTGGAGAAGCTGCTCTAGGCACTGTCCCAGTGTTTGGTGACCCAAGAGGCACTGGCGCAGACTGCTGTAGGCAGGCTTTGTGCTGACATGGGGCAGAGAGGAGAGCCTGCCTCCCTTTGGTCTCCGTCCTCCAGAGTGGAGGCTCTACTCTGACAAGCTCTGACAGGCTCCAGTCTCTGCAAAGTGCTAGAGAGGCCAGGAGAAGAGGGCAGTCCTGTTTTAGTCCAGCTGCAGGGCCCCGGCCACCTCCTCCACTTGGCCTCAGTTCTCACCTGTAGGAGCAAGAGTGGATACCCACGGCCTGGCTCCTGGGGCCTGGGTCCCAGGAATAAGCACACACGGTGAACCACAGAAGGAAGGGGTGAACAGGACGGCCAGGGTCCTGGGGGTCCTGGTGGCGCTGGCCCCTTCGCCTCCCCCTGCTGGCCTGTCCCCCTTCCCTGGCTCCTCCTCTTCTGTCCTCCCTGCTCTGTCCAGGGACTAAGGAGGGAGGGGAGTCGCCTCTGCTCCTGGGAAGTGCCTGCGTCGCTGAGAGTGACAGGCCTGAGGGGCAGTGGAGGGTGTGGTAGCTGTGGAAGACTCTGCAGCAGGCCCGTGCCCTTTCAACCCCAAGAGTGCAGTTTGACTCTGCCAGTTAGGGTGGTGTTGACAGCGGCGGTGTCCTGTGTGTGCTGTCGGAAGAAGTCACTCAGCCGCCTGGGCTTCCCAGGGGTGTGCGGGTGACTTCTCTCCCAGAGCTATTTCTAGGGCTGTTAATCCCTCATTACCCAGCGCCTCTGTCACTGGACTCTTCGGAGTCGCTGGTGGTGATGGATGGCAATGAGGTGGCCCTGAGCTGGTGTCCTCAGCTTGGACTTGCGGGCTGGGGCCTCGCCAGGCTGCTGTCTGCTTGTCTGCAGTCTGGCGTCCCTGCTGTCTGTGAGGCCCCAGACTTCCCTCTGGCCCTTGGGCTCGCCCACCTGTTCTGGGGTCAGCTCCAGAGATGCCCCTGGGGACTGTGCGGGTTTCTGTGGACTTGGCACGGGCCCAAAGTCCCTGGCCCTGGTGACCAGTGGACTGGGTCCATCTCCTTTTCTTTGCCAACCTGGCCAGAAGGTCCAGACAAAACGAGCCGACCCCCAGAAATGTTGCATTCTGGAGGGATGGTGTGGGGCGTGGGGCAGCCTCTGGCAGCCGGTTCTGAGGACTGTGAGATAAGGGGGTCCTCATGGGGGGTCTGAGTGCTGGAGTCTTGGCACCAGCATCAGAGTGGGCACGTGCTGTGCTAGGTCACCTCTGCTGCCGAGATGCCCAGTCCTCCTCCGGGCACAGGGGTCCTCTTTCCCTGCCTCCTACCCATCAGCGGAGACGAGAGCCCGCAGCCGGCTCCTGCAGACACAGCCATGAGCACTCTGCTGGGGCCCTGGCTGTAATGGTTTCTGCAGTCTTGGGAAATGCCTGCCTCTCTAAACATGAACTTTTCCAACCAAAAAATGGGGATGTTTAATGTTTTAATATCTGGGCACCCAGTGAGATATTTGAAAGAGTTTTGAAAAAGCACAAAATCTTTATATGGTGTAAGGCATTATGCTGAGGCTGGGACCTATGTTCATCTTTTGACCAAAGGTGAAATAAAATTGGGCTTAAATTTGCAAATGGGGGCCGGCATTATGGCCAGATAAGTCTCCACCTGTGACTCTGGCATCCTGTATGGATGCTGGTTTGACTTGAGGCTGCTCAACCTCCATGCAGCTCCCTGCTAACAGGCTGGGAAGGCAGCAGAGGATGGTCCAAGTGCTTGGGCCCCTGCACTCCTGGAGGGAGTTCCTGGCTCCTGGCTTTTGGCCTGATCCAGCCCTTGTGGCCATTTGGGGAGTGAATCAGCAGATGGAAGAGTCTCTCTCTCTCCCCCTCTCTGCCCCCTCCCCCACCCCGTCACTCCACTTTTCAAATAGATCATTACTAAAGAAGTACATTTGCAAGCAGAAGGTGCTTGGAGGGAGCAACGCTTGAGGCTCTTGTTGCGTTCCACGATTGTGGTGAGCATCTGCAATGTGTGCGCTTTAGACCTGGAAGAAAATGCAGCCACAACATTCAGTCCAATTGACTCAGGTTTTATTGTGCCAAGAAGGAAGCGTCTGGTCAGGGATGGCCACGGTCAGCGCAGGGCATGGCCCTCTCCATACCGGGTGACCCATGGGCCAGATGCTCTCAGACCCCCGAGGGCTGCTGGAGCTCCTGCCGGGGGCCTCAGGGTGCCGCCTTGCTCTGGTTGTGGGAGGGCATGACAGACAGCAGGGACGGCCACTTGGGCTCTTCCTGGAGCATCCTGTTTCTTCTCTCCAGCATCTGGGTCCACTCCAGGCGGAGCCTGTGGGAAGGTGATGACCTGGGTATCAGCCTTCTGGGAGCCCAGTAGTGGTCAGGCTGGGGCCTCAGATCGCCCACGTAGGCGTCATGGTGCTCCTGCCCCATCACCTGGCCCGTCAGGCCTCTGCAGGGGCCACTGCCCCCTTCAGCACCCCACCCACCCCTGCCATGAGGGAAAAGGCCTGGGACATGCTTCTGGAAACTTCTGGGCCTCAGAGAGACTGGGCGGTGACTTGGCATCTGGCTGCTTTTACCTTCTACATTGTGGATGTGTCAGAGCCTGCTGCAGTGGACAGGTGACCTTATGGCTGGGCGCTGAGCCCTCCCTCTGGGGTGTGTGGCCCCTGCTTGGCTTTTGTCTAGACTGACCTCATGGGCAGAGGGGACAGTGCCGACTGCACTGTCAGTGAGGCCAGAACTTGGGGTGGGGACCCTGCTCCTCACCCATGGCTGCTGCCTGCTCTGCTGGGCTCCATACTGTGGGCCCCACAGAGGGCCTGGGTGTGCTGGTGGGTGGGAGGGGGCAGCAGTGCTGCCCGCACCTGCCTATGGGGACAGATGTCCTGACAGTGGACAGTGCCTGTCCTGAGCCTAGGGCAGCCCAGCAGCTGGCCTCCAGAGCCAGCAAGGTCAGAGCCGAGCTCCCAGGGCAGCAGCTGCTGGTATCCTGGGGGCACTGAGCTGGAAGCCTGTCCAGGCGTGACGTCTCTGGATGTCGCGGAGTCAGTCTCTTGGTGCAGACTGTGTGCTAATCTGCCTGCCTAGCTGTCCCCGGAGCAGGGGTTTCATTTGGGGTCTGTGCAGGTTCCCCAGGAAGAGCCCTCAGGATCCCTGGCTGCTGGCCTCAGTCCCGGCAGAGGTCCGGGTGGATCCACACATCAGAAGCTGGTCACACGCTGTGACTCAGTGGCAGCAGCTGTGACCCAAACAGAGCAAAGACAGATACGCATGATCTGGACGATTCTGGGGCCTCAAGAGAGGAAGAGAAGGAGTCATGAAGGGTGCAGGTATGGGCATAGGATGAGGGTTCAGGTGTGGGTGTGGGGTGAGTGTGCAGGTGTGGGGTGAGCAGATATGAGGTGAGTGTGGAGATGTGGGGTGAGTGTGGAGGTGAGGAGGTGAGTGTGCAGGTGAGGGCACAGGCGTGGATGTAGGCATAGGTGAGGGTGCAGGTGTGGGTGTGGGGTGAGTGTGCAGGTGTGGGTGTGGGGTGAGTGTGCAGGTGTGGGTGTGGGGTGAGGACACTGGTTAAGGTGCAGGTGTGGGGTGAGTGTGGAGGTGTGAGGTGAGCAGATATGAGGTGAGTGTGGAGACGTGGGATGTGGGGTGAGGGCACAGGCATGGATGTAGGCATAGGTGAGGGTACAGGTGTGGGTGTGGGGTGAGTGTGGAGGTGTGGGATGTGGGGTGAGGACACTGGTTAAGGTGCAGGTGTGGGGTGAGTGTGCAGGTGTGGGGTGAGCAGATATGAGGTGAGTGTGGAGATGTGGGGTGAGTGTGGAGTGTGAGGTGAGTGTGCAGGTGAGGGCACAGGTGCAGGTATGGGCATAGGATGAGGGTGCAGGTGTGGGTGTGGGGTAAGTGTGCAGGTGTGAGGTGAGTGTGCAGGTGTGGGATGTGGGGTGAGGGCACTGGTTAAGGTGCAGGTGTGGGGTGAGTGTGGAGGTGTGAGGTGAGCAGATATGAGGTGAGTGTGGAGACGTGGGATGTGGGGTGAGGGCACAGGCGTGGATGTAGGCATAGGTGAGGGTGCAAGTGTGGGTGTGGGGTGAGTGTGGAGGTGTGGGGTGAGTGTGCAGGTGTGGGTGTGGGGTGAGGGCACTGGTTAAGGTGCAGGTGTGGGGTGAGTGTGGAGGTGTGGGGTGAGCAGATATGAGGTGAGTGTGGAGACGTGGGATGTTGGGTGAGGGCACAGGCGCGGATGTGGGCATAGGGTGAGGGTGGAGGTGTGGGGTGAGTGTGCAAGTGTGGGAGTGGGGTGAGGGCACAGGTTAAGGTGCAGGTGTGGGGTGAGGGTGGAGGTGTGGGGTGAGTGTGCAGGTGTGGGTGTGGGGTGAGTGTGCAGGTGTGAGGTGAGTGTGCAGGTGTGGGTGTGGGGTGAGGGCACAGGTTTAGGTGCAGGTGTGGGGTGAGTGTGGAGGTGTGAGGTGAGCAGATATGAGGTGAGTGTGGAGACGTGGGATGTGGGGTGAGGGCACAGCGCGGATGTAGGCATAGGTGAGGGTTCAGGTGTGGGTGTGGGGTGAGGGTGCAGGTGTGGGGTGAGTGTGCAGGTGTGGGAGTGGGGTGAGGGCACAGGTTAAGGTGCAGGTGTGGGGTGAGGGTGCAGGTGTGGGGTGAGGGCACAGGTGAGTGTGCAGGTGTGGGAGTGGGGTGAGGGCACAGGCGCGGATGTGGGCATAGGGTGAGGGTGCAGGTGTGGGGTGAGGGTGGAGGTGTGGGGTGAGTGTGCAGGTGTGGGGTGAGGGTGGAGGTGTGGGGTGAGTGTGCAGGTGTGGGAGTGGGGTGAGGGCACAGGTTTAGGTGCAGGTGTGGGGTGAGGGTGGAGGTGTGGGGTGAGTGTGCAGGTGTGGGGTGAGGGTGGAGGTGTGGGGTGAGTGTGCAGGTGTGGGAGTGGGGTGAGGGCACAGGTTTAGGTGCAGGTGTGGGGTGAGGGTGCAGGTGTGGGGTGAGTGTGCAGGTGTGGGCATAGGGTGAGGGTGCAGGTTAAGGTGCAGGTGTAGGGTGAGGGTGCAGGTGTGGGGGTGGTGGAGGAGCAGGCATTCATGCAGAGTCGTTTGGGTCGTTTGATGTTTGAGCAGCCCAGCTACGGTCTCTAGCTGGTTCTGAGAGAGGTGGAGTCGGGGGCCCCTGTCCCCCTCACTTGTTCAGGGCGCTGCTCCGGACCCTCATGTCCTCAATCTGTAGCTGCTTTTCATGCTGCTCAATTTTTCTCTCCCAAAACATCTTTATCCTTCCTGCATCATAGACTAGTCTTCGAGGGTGCTTCAAGGTGGATTTTCTACTCATTTTCTGGAAAAAGAAAAATGTGTAAGAACTCAAGCACTTTGATTTTTTTTCGGCTTAGACATGAATCAGTACACTGACCACAGTGAGGCTAGCTCCACCAAACGTGCACATTGTCCACATCCTAGGAGGGGCCCATGGGTGTGGATGTCCCCTTGTGCCTGCCCTCTGGAGGGGCCGTGGGGTAGACGAGCCCATGTCCAGCCCCGTGTTCTGGCCCTGTGGACTGGACGTCTCTGTTCTGGCCCCATGGGCTGGACGTTCTGTGTTCTGGCCCTGTGGACTGGATGTTCTGTGTTCTGGCCCTGTGGACTGGACGTCTCTGTGTTCTGGCCCCGTGGGCTGGACGTCTGTGTTCTGGCCCCGTGGGCTGGACGTTCTGTGTCCTGGCCCAGTGGACTGGGCGTCTCTGTGTTCTGGCCCCGTGGGCTGGACGTCTCTGTTCTGGCCCCGTGGGCTGGACGTTCTGTGTCCTGGCCCAGTGGACTGGGCGTCTCTGTGTTCTGGCCCCGTGGGCTGGACGTCTGTGTTCTGGCCCCGTGGGCTGGACGTTCTGTGTCCTGGCCCAGTGGACTGGGCGTCTCTGTGTTCTGGGCCCGTGGAGGACTGTGGGAGTTGCACTGTTTCACAGTCATCTCTGGCTTGGGGCCCACTCTTGCTTTCTGGAAAGGTCTCTTGTCCTGGTGGAAGCAGAGCTGATGGCAAACCCCATCAGGCCTCTGGCCACGCACACTGGTGTCGGCGCAGTGTTGCTGCAGCGACCCGAGTGGGCATCTCCACTAGGGCAGAGGCGGCGCATTTCAGGAGCTCTCATCTTGGTAGCCCCAGAAACCCAGGACTGTGTCGTCTCCTTTGTCCTGTTCAGCAGGTGCCCTGGTCTGGTCTGTCTGGCATCCTGAGCTTCACAAGACTATTCTCAGAGCCCCACACCCTGGTGCTTCACAGTGTGACTGTGCTCAGCGACAGGAACCTGAGGATGATTTGGGCTGGATGAGGTCCTCGGGTGGCCCCTGGCCCAGTGAGACTGCACCCTCATTGGGAGGGGAGATCAGGACACAGATACCACGAGGGTCGGCCACAGGAGAACACGGCATGTGCATGCACAGACGACAGGAGGACATGGGAGAACACAGCAGGTGCACACAGGGGACGGCCATGGGAGGACACGGGAGAACACAGCAGGTGCACACAGATGACAGCCATGGACAGCATGGGAGAACATGGCGTGTGCACACAGATGACAGCCATGGACGGCATGGGAGAACACGGCATGTGCACACAGATGACAGCCATGGACGGCATGGGAGAACATGGCATGTGCACACAAAGGACAGCCACGGGAAGACTCAGTGTCTACAACCAAGGAGAGAGGCCTCGGGAGAAGCCACCCTGTTGCCACGGCAATCTGGAGTGGCAGCCTGGGTGGATGAGTCACCACCATGGAGGCCACCCAGCCTCTGCTCCTCGCTCATGGCCATGCTTCTGGCTTCTGTTTGTGTTATGTGTGCACAGCAAACACACCTTGTCCTGGACACCGGTGGCCACCTCTCTTCTTGTTCCCTGTTCCCTGGCAGGACTCTGCTTCTGGGCAGGAGGGGGACTCCCAACACAAACTCCGCACTGAGCCCCACCTTGGAGCCTCCTGCACTCTGCAGGGCCAGTGCATAGCCCCCTGCTCATGGTGCGAGCCAGCTGACTCCTAGGCTGCTGGCCCTGCCAAGGTAAGGACAGAGGATGCCTGTTGTACGCTGACAGCCCCTGCACTTACTTCTCGCTGTGCCATCCTCCAGCTGGGCCGGGGAGCATGACCACCAATGGGCAAGAATTAGAGAGGAGACCGGCTGAATTGGGTCATGGGAGGCCTGCAGGAGCTGAACACAGCACAAAAGGGGGAGGCGGCCACCATCCTCCCGGTCAGGGACCAGGCCACCTGCTTCCCTCCCCTCCTACTGTCATCCTGCGTGTTGTGCTTGTCAAGTGGCCAAAACGCCTGCTCCGTCTGAACCTTCTCCCTGCCCCCTGGAGCCACCTCTGGGGCCTTGATGGCCACAGGACAAGAGGACTTGGGAATGGAGAGTCCCCTCCCTCAGAGCTTATTCCTGGGCTCACCCTGGAGAAGGGGAGCTGCCAAGTCCTGATCAGCTGACCTTTGCCCTCTGGCTGTAGGGACCTCCTGCATCCATCAGATGGAGCCCTGGACACCCAGAGCAGATGGGCCTTGGCCTTGCACAAACTGAGTGAGTGAGGCTGCAGCAAAGCCTTGTGAGGGGTGCAGGGTTGGGTGGGTCCCTCGGGGGCTGTGGTTTCTCTGAGGGAGGTAGGCTGGCCTCCCGAGTGACTCTCACGGCATGGTCTTCAGGACACATAAAGGTTAAAAAAGCTGGATTTTCTGAAGTTACATTTTTAAACCCAGATGACTAGAGTTGCCCCTGAGATGACCAGTGGTGACCAGTCCAGCACTACAAGCCCCCTCTGCCTCCTGCTGACCACAGGGGTCTGTGGGCCTCCTCAACAGAGGCACAGGCAGAGGTCTGCACCTGTCCACACCTGTGGGAGGGGCCAGCTCCCTTGCTTGAATTCCTGCTTGGGTAGACACGGTCTGGGAGGGGACCCCAGGGAGCTGCTGTCCCTGGTCACTGGCTAACCCCGTCTCTGCCCTCAGTGCTAATGAGCCATGGCTCCTGGCTCCTGGCACCTGCACAGCTGCTGGTGGCAATTCAGGGCCCAGCACTGTGCCAGGGCTGCCCATCACAGGGCTGACCAGACGGCCCTGAGTGGGCCTCTCTGTCGCTCATCTAATCGAGGTCACCAGCTGGTCTGAACTGCCCAGGACATGCTGCACGCCTGGCTGTGGCCAGGCATCAGGCTGTGCTACAAAGCCTGGGCTGCCACTCAATGCAACTGACAAAATCCGAGTACAGTGGGCACTTTCCCTGCTCGGTGCTGGACTCAGGCTCTTGCAGCTCAGCCCAGGACCCCAGCACCTCCCAGTGTGGCCCTTGGCCGGCTCAGCACCTCCCCTACGAGGGAGAGTGGCGCCTTCCCCAGGAACCTGTGCCTGCTGACACTGACTCCACTGCCTTTCCAGGGGGCACATGGGGCTGGGTCCCCGGGGAGTGGCTGTCCCCGCTTGTCCCAGGACAGGGATCACGGCAGGAGCCAGGTCCTCTGGAAGAGGAGTGGACATGCAGCCACTTCTGCAGCATGGGCAGTCTCCCTCACGGCCTTCCCTGGCTGTTGGGGCCGATGCGGGTGAGCGCCCTGCTGTTCCCTGACCCCATGACTTTCCAGTGCACCGATGTCCCGGCCTGGGGCTTGAGCCCACACAGTGCTGGGACTGGGCAGAGTTTTGGTGCCAAGTGGTTTTCCTGAAGCCAAATCACATGACCTCATCTTGTTACAATCTCAGCTTAGAGCCAGTGTGCACACGGGCATCTGCACGGCTGGCGGGCAGCAGCAACCCTCACGGCGTGCCTTTCTCCTGCCTGTTCCCTAATTTCCTTCACACCCAGAGGGACCATGCAGCTGGGGCTGGCTGGATCCCAGGGCCCACTCCTGCCTCCTGCCTCCTGCCTCCTCCCTCCAGTGAAGAGACAAAGGTGGTGGAGACAGCTGCTCAGGTGAGTGAGGGAACATTCCAGAATGTGGCCCAGGGCACAAAGAATCTTTGGGAAGCTCTCGGTGACATCAGGCGGGCATTGTCATGGCCACAGGTAACACCCGGTCTCACAGGTGAGAGACTTGGGGAGCGATGAGAGACTTGGGGAGCGGTGCAGCAGTCAGAACACGTGTGTGAGGTCATTGGAGAAGAACCAGAGACCCCAGACACCGGTGCCCGGCCTCTCTCCTGGCCGCACACTCTCCTCACATGCACGGACTGGCCACCCCACCCCACCCACAGCTGCACTGTGTTGCCGTCAATGACAACTCCAGCCGCCTGAGTCGGGGGGAAGCAGTCCTGGTACCGGGATCCGAGTGGGCTGGGCTGAGCCGCCCACCCCAGGGAGGGGGCTGGGGTGAGTCACTCAGAGCTGAGTCTTGCCTGTCCTCCGCCCCCGTCCCCTGGGGGAGGTCTGCAGCTCTTACTGCCCAGACGCAGGTGAGAGCAGCACGAGAGGAGACCAGAGGCAGGGCAGAGTCGGAGACCCCAGCTGGGGGTTCAGAGGTGAGTGGGGCTCACACACAGCTGGCTCTCCACCCAAAGGGCGTTCTCACCTGAAACTGCTGGGGAAAAGTAGGTGGACTTCCTCCAAAAAGTGCAGGTGGGCAGACCTGGCCGTGTGCCGTGCCCGACCTCTCCCACACATGTGCTTGAACGCTGGCCGTGTGCCGTGCCCGGCCTCTCCCACACATGCGTGTACTCTGGCCGTGTGCTGTGCCTGACTTCTCACATATGTATACTTAAACCCTAGCTGTGTCCCACGCCCAACCTCTCCCACACATGCTCGTACCTGGGGGCCGGGTCAAGGTCGTCTCTCCAGCAAGGTCAGGTGCAGTCACCTCTGCAGTAACTTCGCCGTGGCTGTGTGGGTCTCCAGAGGTCCGTACTGTGGGTGTCCTCGGCAGGCAGTCTCTGGGGCGAGTGCCTGGACTTTGCCTGCCACTCACTTTTAAACAGGCGCCTGCCACTCACTCAGAGACACGGGCGCTTGGCATCGGCTCAGACTCCAGAAAGACGAGCCGCCTCCTGTTGGCCCGCGGCCCTGATGGCCCCATCTGGCTCTAGCGCCACTCCTGGACGGACAGGGGTCTGAGGGCGGCGGGGAGCCTCCCTCTGTCCAGGCTGTGTCACTGGCCGCTCGGGAGGGGTCTGTGCCCTGGGGTCAGCGGCAAGGCCGCGTGGGAACCTGTTGTGCAGACTGCTGTTTGGGTCAGCACAATGGTGGGGGCTGGCTGGGCACAGGAGGGATAGTGTTACCAATATGGTGGGTGCCTGGCGCTGGGTCTCTCTGCCTCACTCCAGCCTACAGCCGTTCTCAGCACCAAACCCGGGCCCTCCCAAGTCAGCCTCGCTGTAGTTGAAAATACCATAAATCAAAATAGGCCGTCAGTGCATCAGGCCCAGCAAACACCCCAGCTTAGCCAGGCCTGCCTTTCCACTCCTCCTGCTTGTGAGTGGAGACCCAGGAAGCTGGGGTCAGATATAGTCTGAGCCCCGATGCTGAGAGCCACAGTCACCCTGACCATGGCCTCACCCTGACCATGGCCTCGCCCTGACCATGGCCTCACCCTGACCACGGCTCACCCTGACCACAGCCTCACCTTGACCATGGCCTCACCCTGACCACAGCTCACCCTGACCACGGCATCACCTTGACCATGGCCTCATCCTGCCCTCAGTCTCACTGACCACAGGGCTCACACTGAGCATGGCCTCACGCTGGCCATGGTCCTCTCGCTGACCACTTTTGAGGAGGGGCTGGCAGTGGGCAGGCTGCGATGGGCAGAATCAGGCAGTGAGAGGAGGGTGTGCAACAGCTCCACAGACCAAGTGGGTGGGGACACCAGGGGGCTTAGCCACTCGCGTCCATAGCAGGCTCCTTGGGAGTGGTGTCTGAGCTGGGTGGGCAGCTGGAGGGGAGGACCACAGCCTGTCCTTGGGGAATGACAGAGGGTCCCGGGTCAGGAGCGGCTGGATGGTGGCTGTGGCCTGGGCCGAGTGTGGAATGAAGGCTGGCACACAGCCGGGCCTCTGTCAGGCCCCAGACCTGAGGCAAAGACTGACTCTGGGTTTCAGGAAGGCTGTGGACGCTGCCCCACGGGGCTGCTCAGCTCTGCACCCCGGGCACAGCAGGGCCCCCCCGCTCAGCACACCCCCTGATTCTGCCAGTACCTCGTTTTTGACAGAAAATGGAATAAAAAAGTTGAAGTGCCAGAGCTCCCAGGGTCCCGAAGCTGAAGTGTGGGGACATCTGGCCTCGGGTCTGGCAGGGCCCAGCGTTAGCGACCGGCTGTTGGCTGCTCTGCTTCTCCTGGTCTCCTGCCTCTGCCCTTCCTTGTGGCCACTCACGCATGTTGTCCCTCGGCCAGCCTACCTGAGTCCAGGCCCTGCAGGGAAGGGAGCTGCCTGCCACGCGCCCACCTCCTCATCCGGGACACCCTCGCTGGGGGGGGGTGTCTCACCACCGAGGGCGGGTTCTGGTGAGCTCGCTAGCGGCCCGAGGGCGGACACCATCTGTCCAGCGTCCATCCCGAGCGGGTCACGCCCTTTTCTCGCCGCGGGGGTGTGCGCGGGGGTGTGCGTGTGCGCGGGCGTGGGTCGCGCGCCCCCTGGCGGAGCACGGCGGGCCCTGGCGCCCGCGACTCCGACTTTGCAGAATCTGACGGAGGAGGCGCCTGGCGCTGACTCAGGGAGTGGTCGTCAGGGGGCTTCCCCAGCAGCGTGGCTGTACTCAAGAGCAAAGGAAGAAGCCGGACTTGGTCGTGGGTGTGCGGTGAGCCTACGCGTGCAGGGGCCGGGCTGGGCGGGGGCCCTCACGTCTCCTCTGTGGCTTTTTCTCGGCGTCGTCTGGCGGGCTTGGCGGAGGTCGCGGCGGTGCGGTCCGCGGTTCTGGGCTGGGCGCTCGCTGCGGTGCTCCGTGTCCATTGCTTCACGCTGCTCTTGTGGGAGCCAGGAGGAGAGCCGCGGGTGGTCCTCAGGATGGCCTGGCCTGTGCGACCTGGCCTGTGTGGGCCCCGTCTGCCTCTGGCCGCGTCTGAGTGGATGCCGAGAGGCCCATGGTCCACCTGGGAGTGCAGCCACGCCGTCGTGGATACCACGGGGCAGGGAGGAAGTGGATGCTCCGAGGGAGGGAGCGGGAGCAGAGAGTGAGCGTCAGCCGCTGCTGAGCTGTGGCTGGGCCCCCTCAGGTTCTGGGCTGGCTTTGGGCCTGTGCTGGGGGAGGGTGTGGGGAGCAACCGGACTAGACTGAGTTACTGGAATTAAGACTTATTCTATGCATCTGCTCTCCCACAATATGGCGCTGGGAGAGAAGTAAACAGCTTCCGCACAGCTGCCTCCAGTTCAACTAATAAACTGTAGGACTTGCTATTGATTGGAGGAGAGCAGCGTACTCGGCGTGTGGGCAGCCGAGTTAGGATTGGCGGAGGAGGACTATAAAGGAGGAGAGAGACGGCATGCACCAGGAACATCTATGGGGAACATCTAGCTGAAGGAACACCTGTGCAGCCCCCCAGAGAACCGGCCGGCGGTGTGCCGCTCCCCTGCGGAAGTGGGGAATGTGGCCAGGGGGAACTGCCCTTCCACGGAGGTGGAAGGGATAGTAGCCAACCCGGGAAGAACCAGCAGCAAACCCGGGGAAGGCCGAGCAGACGAAAGAACAGCGCAGGGTCCTGTGTCGTTCCTCCATGAAGAGGGGGAGCGACATAATGGTGCCGTGACTCGGATATGAAGCCTAGGCAGGGTTTAGTGTCGTTCCTCCACAAAGAGGGGGAGCGACATAATGGTGCCGTGACTCGGATAGGAAACCTAGAACGGATAGCAAACTTAAGAGGGAAGAAACGGGAAGAACTGGGAAAATACCGGAGAGAGAGACTAGCAAACAGCCTAGGGAAAAGCCGGACGAAAAGGGTGCCGGAAGAAGCTATTGAAAGCCTAGGCATAGACTCAGATACGGACTACGGACTACGGGGGAAGCTGGGAGAAATCTCTAAGGTCGAAAGCGAAAGTGAAAGCTAGAACAAACAGACTCGGACGCGGACTGTGGGGAGAGGCCAGGAGAAATGAGGGAGGAGTATTGTTGGAGGAAAGCTTGGGGAAACATACCGGGTAGAAAAAAATGTTAGGGAAATTGAAGCCGCGGGGGGCAGGCCAAGGCGGACACGAAAGCCACTTTGGGGTTCTCAAGTTAGCCCGGGAATAGGGGGAGAAAAGTTGAAACCAGAAGCTGAAACGTAAGCCAGATTGGGATCCGTCTGATTAGCCCGGGGAGCAAAGGACGGGAAGCCAAATCGTGGGGTGGAGACGTATGCTGGGTTGAATTCGCCAGGCTAGCCCGGGGAACTTAGATTGAATGCTAGTGGCAGACACGTAAGCTACGCTGTGTTACTCGCGGAAGCCGCCGCGTGCAGAGAGAGTACGGGGCGTGAATAGATAGGGAACGGGGCTGGCGCGAGGCCGTGGTGCAGACGCGAAGGGCGTGGAGACCGCGGAGCGCGCGAAGCCAAGCTGCGCAAAGCCGGGAAGCTGCGCAGATGAAAGAGGCGCGGGCTGAAGCGGCTCAGCCGGGAAGCCGCCGAGAAGTAGCCTCGGGGCGGGCAGCGGGAAGCTGCGGGGATAAGAGAAACAGAAGTTTGGAAGTGGAGTGAGAGAAATGGGAATGTTGGCAGATAGAAGTAAAATGGGAGAAATAGGAATGCCCGGAGATAGAGAAATAGAGAAATAGAAAGGCCTCCCTACAACACTGCAATGTGAGAGCTTGGATTCGGTCTGCCTGATTAAGTGAGGCGATGAGCACGATGAGCACCTGCGGCGGCTAGCAGCTTATGCGCCACAGGTCACCGAAGACAGGCACGAATTAACATCAGTAAGGCCTCCCCACAAAAAGGCAATGAGAAGGCTTGGATTCGGTTTGCCTGATAGGGCTTGTAAGCCCCTGCAGGCTCGACCAGAGCATGCGCTGCAGGGCACCGAACACAGGCACGCATCAGCGCCTAAAAACCTCCTCACAACATGGCGAAGAGAGGACCCGGATTCGGTTTGCCTGATTGATAGGACTTGTAAGAGCCTGTGGCAACTCTAGCAAGTAGAGCAGAGTGTGTGCCGCGGGACACCGAAGACAGGCGCGTATCAACGCCAAAAAATAAAAAGAAAGGGGGATCTGTGGGGAGCAACCGGACTAGACTGAGTTACTGGAATTAAGACTTATTCTATGCATCTGCTCTCCCACAATATGGCGCTGGGAGAGAAGTAAACAGCTTCCGCACAGCTGCCTCCAGTTCAACTAATAAACTGTAGGACTTGCTATTGATTGGAGGAGAGCAGCGTACTCGGCGTGTGGGCAGCCGAGTTAGGATTGGCGGAGGAGGACTATAAAGGAGGAGAGAGACGGCATGCACCAGGAACATCTATGGGGAACATCTAGCTGAAGGAACACCTGTGCAGCCCCCCAGAGAACCGGCCGGCGGTGTGCCGCTCCCCTGCGGAAGTGGGGAATGTGGCCAGGGGGAACTGCCCTTCCACGGAGGTGGAAGGGATAGTAGCCAACCCGGGAAGAACCAGCAGCAAACCCGGGGAGGGCCGAGCAGACGAAAGAACAGCGCAGGGTCCTGTGTCGTTCCTCCACGAAGAGGGGGAGCGACATAATGGTGCCGTGACTCGGATATGAAGCCTAGGCAGGGTTTAGTGTCGTTCCTCCATAAAGAGGGGGAGCGACAGAGGGAGAGTGGGGAAGAGGGAGAGGGAGATATGGGGGGGGGAGAGAGAGAGAGAGAGAGAGAGAGAGGGAGGGAGAGGGAGAGAGATAAGGAGAGAGAAATGGAGGGAGAGATGAGAGAGAGATGGAGAGATAGAGATAGAGATATGGGGAGAGAGATGGAGAGAGAGAGAAAGAGAGATATGGGGAGAGAGATGGAGAGAGAGAGGGAGAGAGAGAAGAGAGATGGAGAGAGAGATAAGGAGAGAGAGGGAGAGAGAGATATGGAGAGAGATAAGGAGAGAGAGATGGGGAGAGAGAGAAAGAAAGAGAGAGGGAGAGTTATGGAGAGAGATAATGAGGGAGAAAGAGAGAGAGAGACGGAGAGAGATGGAGGGGGGCATCTTCCTGAGTCCTGGGGGCAGGATGCTGCCCCGCCCCCCCAGCTGCTTTCCAGTTCCAACCTGATGAAGGGAGCTGTGGGCCCCTGGGTGCCAGATACTACGCCCTCTGACCCCACCCATTCCTGGGGCCAGTCCTGCTGTGGCCTCCTCCAGTTCACAGCCCTGAGGATCCACAGCCCGGCTGTAGGGAGCAGGGACCCAGCGTGTGATGTTCAAGCTGTCCTTGTGTCTGTGAGCTTTCTGTTCTGGTGGGCAGAGGGCTGGGCAGTGCTGACCCTGGCCTAGCCAGGGCCTGAAGCAAATGGAGGTTTCTAACAGGGTTCACAGCTGCAGAGTCTGTGGGGCACCGTGGGAGGGGGGAGAGCTAAACACACATTTCTGCACACAACGCGTGTCAGTGTGTACACACATGACAGTGCCATCTTCACCCTCTCCATCGCCTTGGCCTGGCTGCAGCAGGAGGACTTCTGGGGCAGAGGGTCACCCAGAGGGGCGAGGCCCACTATGCCGGGAACTTGCCCCTGCACACAGGGACTGAGGTGAGGCCCACCACGAGGCCCTCTGGGAGGCATGGAGCCAGTGAGCCTGCCAGCAGGGCCACAGTGCCACTGGGCACCACTGGGCACTCGTGCTCATCTGTGGCATGGGCAGGGCCTCTGGGAAGGACGCAGTGGCTGTGGTGGCCTCTGCAGAGTGGGGCCTGGAGTGGACACAGGAGGCACAACATCCTCTCAACAAAATGAGAACAGGAAGTTCAGGGATCCCTGAAGTGAACGCCAAGCCTTCTAGACACACTAGCAAAGGTCAGAAGCACCAAGGCCGTTTGCAGCCTGGTCTCCCCCCGACAGACAGCAGACAGATGGCAGATGGACAGAGGGCAGACGGACAGACGGCAGACAGACAGATGGCAGACGGACAGAGGGCAGATGGACAGACGGCAGACAGACGACAGACGGACAGAGGGCAGACGGCAGACAGATGGCAGACAGACGGACAGAGGGCAGACGGACAGATGGCAGACAGACAGACGGACAGAGGGCAGACAGATGGCAGACAGACAGAGGGCAGACGGACAGAGGGCAGACAGACAGACAGCAGACGGACAGAGGGCAGACGGACAGACAACAGACGGACAGACGGCAGACGGACAGACAGCAGACAGACAGACAACAGATGGACAGATGGACAGAGGGCAGACGGATAGACAACAGACGGACAGATGGCAGACGGACAGAGGGCAGACAGACGGCAGATGGACAGAGGGCAGATGGACAGAGGACAGCGGACAGACGATGGACAGAGGGCAGACAGAGGGCAGACGGACAGAGTGCAGGTGGACAGACGGCAGATGGACAGAGGGTAGATGGACAGAGGGCAGACGGACAGAGGGCAGACAGACAGAGGGCAGATGGACAGAGGGCAGCCACCACCCTTCACCTCCTCCCACGCTGCCGGCTGGGGAGAGCAGGGCCCACACCTGGCCTCTCCACACCTGGCGGCTGCTTTCTCCCCAGCACACACCTGGCTCTCCTGGCCTTGTTGGCTGTTTAGGGTGATTCCGGTCTCCTGCGTGTAATCCTGCAGTGGGTGTGTGTGGAATGCTGCTCTGTGTCCCAGGTGTGTGTATGTATGCATGTGCATGTGTGTGCACACGTGTGTGTGC